TATATAACCTGCCATCCCTCACAACCCCATGGCAGCCCCTCTTTCTGCCCATAGGTCTTGTCCTGGTGCTTTAATAAACAACCACTTTGCACCAAAGATGTCTCAAGAATTCTTTCTTGGTCGTCGGCTCCAGACTCCACCCCACTGAACTTCACCTATATTCTAAAACTTCATCAGATTTAACATGTTTTCTCATTTTTGTCTGTTTACTGTTGTTCATAAAATCTAGAAAAGCTATCAGTGACTAGCTTGTCATTTTATATACCAGTAAGAAAGAAAAAAAAACCCACTTTCAGTCATAATTGTAGGATGCAGCCCTATTTTCAGAGATTTTTTCAAGATTTGAACTACTGCAAGCAATAAATACAGTATTTTTCAAATTGTAAAGTGGAAGTAAAAGGAGGAGGGAAAAATACCTGGTCTTACCCACCTAAAGAAAACCATTGTTATTAGCACCAGAATATTTCTCAGTATTGTTCTATGATATTTTTACAGTTATGGACCTTATACTAGTACATTTAATACACTTATGCATTAAATATATACATTTATACATATTTATAAAAATACATTTCCAAATATGTGTATTTGCATTTTTTATTTATTTGCATTAAAAAATATTTTTACTTATTTATTTGACAGAGAGTGAGACAGCAAGAGAGGGAACACAAGCAGGGTGAGTGGGGGAGGGAGAAGCAGGTCCCCCCCCAAGTCGGGAGCCGGATGCAGGGCTCCATCCCAGGACCCTGGGATCATGACCTGAGCCGAAAGCAGATGCTCAACGACTGAGCCACTCAGGTATTCCATGTATTTGCATTTTATTATACAATTCATACTTTCGTTTACCTCATATCCCTAAAGTAAATTGCTGAGGATGCACTTCTCCATTTTGATAGATACTGCCAAACTGCCTTCCAGAAAGGCTTCAATTTAGTAAAACATCTTCTTTAAATACAAAAAACCCATATTGAACAAAGTAGGGTGTTTCCTAGGTGAAGTCAGTATAAATGGTCACAAACTCAATAAGCAATTATGTTCATATTGTTATCTTTCATAATAAATTCTAGAGCACCCACCTGCCTTATTACCAGTGAATTTAGGGTTCTTTTTTTAAGATTTTATTTATTTATTTTTAGATTTTATTTATTTTAAGATTTTATTTATTTATTTGACGGACAGAGATCACAAGTAGGCAGAGAGGCAGGCAGAGAGCGAGGTGGAAGCAGGCTCCCTGCTGAGCAGAGAGCCCAATGCGGGGCTCGATCCCAGGACCCTGAGATCATGACCTGAGCCAAAGGCAGAGGCTTTAACCCACTGAGCCACCCAGGCGCCCCAGATTTTATTTATTTTAGAAAGAGAGGGAAGCAGAGTACAAGAGAGCAGGGAGGGGCAGAGGGAGAGGGAGAGAGAATCTCAAGCAGTCTCCAAGGTGAACATGGAGCCTGATCTGAGATCATGTCCTGAGCTGAAATCAAGAGTCAGATGTTTAACTGAATGAGCTACCCAGGTACCCCTTGAATTTGGTATTTCGTAAGGGTTTCTTTCCAATTGTCCCAGACCCCAGGGGCTTACTCTTGGACCAGCAAACAAATCCAGGGAGATTGTGAAGTCCTTCTGGGCACTCTGTTTCTGGTTGTCACTCTCATGGCCTCACAGATCTCTGGAAGACAGCCTACAGCATCTGGCTACCAGACAGGATTTGTGATGTTCCTCCGGCACAGATCACAGATCCTTGTGCTGCTCTGAGTACAAGGGAGAGGAGGAATGCTCTCCCTGATTCACTGATGAACTCTTACTCTTCAGAAGGCTAGGGTTTGTTCTGCAGTCCACTACTCCAAGCACACAGACCCTTTGTTGCTTTCTCTCCTTGGAGCTATGGGGATTCCCTCGATGTGTTTGGCACATCTTAAACTTCCCAACCACAAAAGGATGTGACGTACATACCAGTTCCAAACAAGGATCAACTGCCCATCCCAGGAAGACTGCCAGTGAATTCAAGGGGCCTATACCTTTACTGCAGAGAGAAGAGGGGGTAGGTAACGCTTAGTGATTCAAAGGCAATTTTTTCAAGCTTCTTTTTTACTTGAGAGGACAGGGGTGAAACCCACAGAAATATAATCTCCAGGAGGGAGCCTCAGATACATCCAAGACAAGTGGCTAAAGAGTAGCTATACTGGTTTCCTACAGCCACCACCACAATTACCAGAGACTGGGGGGCTTAAACAACAGAAATTTATTTTCTCATAGTTAAGAAGGTTGAAACCCTGAGATCACTGTGTTGGCAAGTTTGATGTCTTCTGAGGCCGCTCTCTTTGGCTTGCAAATGTCTTTCCTCTGTGCGGGCACAGCCCTAGGATCTCTTTGTGTGTCCAAATTCCCTCTTCTTATAAGAACACAGGTTGGATTGGAGTGGGGCCCACCCTTACAGTCTCATTTCAACTGACAGCCTCTTTAAAGGCTCTGTCTCCACAGATGATCACATTCCGAGGCAGTGGGGTTAGCGCTATGCCGTAATTACAGAATCATTCCAGCCCATAATAGCAGCTGAGATATGGTAGGATTTTGTGTAATTATCCTAGTTTATTGGAGATAGTCACCTTCACAAAAAGCAGATATTTGAGGTCCAGATCGATGCAGATTGGTGTATTGTTGACATTAAAGAGAATCTACAAGAGCATCTATTTTCCTTGTAAACACTTCAACCATAGAACCTTGCAAGAGATGGCAAAGGCCAATGAAACATGAGTCAAGTGTCTACTTGGCCTCCAAAATGATTGTGATTCTGCATCCCACTCCTTAACCCCTAATACATTTGTATTTTCTTTGAGAACTAGAAGCATTAGCAATTATGTACTACCATAGTAAGTACAGGGAATCAATCCAAGGGGCATAAAGGTGCTGCCATCCAGAAGTTCAGTCTTATGAGAGAACAGAAGAGCCATATATACTCTAATCCTAATTCTGTGGCCAAATGTTATTAGATCTTGGAAGAGGGAGAAATTAATTTTGCCTGGGTTTAGGGAAGAAATGCTATTTGAATCTTGAAGATGTAGAATTTTTCCCAATGTAAAGAGCAGGTAGAACAGGGAGACTTGTTCAAATTACAGTAGTACTGTGATCATAAAGTAAAGAGCAGGAAAAATATTGTCATTAGTAGCTGATGAAACTAATCATATTTCCATACTCAAAGCATTACCCAGTTAAAATTACTGAACCAGAATTATGAGTGTTAACTTGGATAAATATCTTAAAAAACAAAATTGAGCAAAGAAGGCAATTTACGAATGAATACAAATCGTATGCAATGGAATGGTAAGCTTTATACACAAGTGATCTCTTGTGTAGCTGGGGTCCCCTTGCTTGGGTCCATATCCTGCTACCACCACTTGAAAGCCGTTTGATCCTGGGCAAATTGTGCCACTTTTCAGTTTTCTCACCTGTACATTGGGGCTCATAATAGGACTTAAACACAGAGGTATTGTGAGGATTTAGGGAAGTAATACAAGTAAAATACCTAGAACAGTGTCCACCCTTCATAAATGTTAGCTACTGCACTGGTATAAAGTTTTAAAAGAATGAGTACAATATTTTCCTGAGTAAAACATACAAATAAACAGAAACTTAAAAACGTATAGGAAAATGACGATGATTACATTTAGAACAGTGGTTACCTTTGTGGGACAGGGAGGGGAAGGAGATTAGAGAAGAGAATGGAAAGGCTTCAACTACATGTTTGTTTGTTTTTTTAAGATTTTTGTTTATTTATTTATTTAACAGGCAGTTATCACAGGTAGGCAGAGAAGCAGGCAGAGAGAGAGAGGAAGAGAAGCAGGCTTCCCGCTGAGCAGAGAGCCGGATGCAGGGCTCAATCCCAGGACCCCGGGATCATGACCAGAGCCAAAGGCAGAGGCTTTAACCCACTGAGCCACCGAGGCGCCCCAACTACATTGGTAATACTTTGTTAAACGGGGTATAACCACATGTTTTTCTTCAATCGGTAAATATTTATGAAATATTTCATATTAAATACCTTAAAACATATAGCAAATTAAATGGGGGTGGGCTTGCATTCCTATAGACACCAAAGACCCTCCTTTATTAACTAGTTTTGTGAGATTTGGGTAAGAGGCACAGAGGCTCCCCAAGGAGGGATCCTGGAGCCACCCAAACTGCCTGGCTCCTCTTCCTCATTCAGATCTGGGTTTAAATACCCCTTCCTCAGAGAAACCTTCGTCCAAAGCTATTTTAAAGCAGCACACTGCCCCCCCCCCCCCCCCCCCGCAACACACTGCACTGTTTTATTGCAATGGGCTTATCACTCTAAGGTGTTTTAGGATTGTTTTACTCAGCAATTGTCTGAATGTTCTGTCTTGCCCAACACTGTATTCCCAAAGTCTTTTCAAATCCTCAGGTGTTTTGTTTTGTTTTGGGATGGATGACTGACTGACTGGATGCATGGATAGATGAAGACCCTCCAAACTCAGGATGCCTCTTTTTAGCCCACCAGGTGGGCAGAGGTAGAATGAGAAAAGCCTGAGAAGGGGAGGGAAGATTGGAATAGTTTGAGGAGAGGGTTTAGGAAGATCTAGATTAGGGGCGCCTGGGTGGCTCAGAGGGTTAAGCCTCTGCCTTCGGCCTGCGTCATGATCTCAGCGTCCTGGGATCGGAGCCCCACATCAGCAGGGCGCCTGCTTCTCCCTCTCTCTGCCTATTTGTGATCTCTGTCAAATAAATAAATAAAATCTTAAAAAAAAAAAAGAAGAAGAAGAAGAAGAAGATCTGGATTAGAGGAAGCGAGGGAAGCTGCGGAAGCGAGGTTCTTTTCGGAGACAAAGGGCTAAAGGTGAGTGGGGAACAGGAAGTCGAGGCGAGTCAAGGGCGGGGCCTCCAGGGAGGAGGCGGGGCTCTGGAGGCGGGGTCTTGGGGAGGGCGGGCCGGAGGGTGGGCGTTGCCCCGGAGCAGGGGCGGGCCTGCGAGCGGGTTGCTGGGAGCAGTACGCTGCTGCAGCGGCGGTGGCGGCGGAAAATGGCTGCGGCTGAGCCCGCGGACACTCAGCTGATGCTCGGAGTTGGGCTGATCGGTGAGGACGAAGGCGCCCTGCCCCGAAGGCCCGCGCCCCAGTTCTGCCTCCGCCTCCGCCTGGGCCCGGGCTGTCTCTGCTCCCGCGGCCTCCGGCGCCACCTGCGGTGAGGAGGTCGCGGCCCCCCTCTCTGTTGGGCCTGGGCCGGGGGCTGCAGGGCCCGGCTTCCTCGGCGCGGGGACTCGGCCAGTGGCTCTGGGCCAGTCTCGCGTGGGACCCGCTCTGGCCGGGCAGTGGGGTGGAGGGACCCCGGGCTTCCTCCCGGACGCCTGGTGCTGCAAACGAGGCCGGACATCGAGGGTGACAGAGCTCCGGAGGCTGCCAGGGGGCGGCTGCACAGCCGGGGCGGGGGCTGGGCGGAAAGTCGGTGGAGGGCGGCGCCGCTGGGAGGCGGCCGGGCTGACCTCTGAGGGTGGGGGAGCCACGCGTGACTGTCTGCCCTGCACCCGGCTGACCCCGATTGTATGCTTGAGCGGTTCGAGTCTCGGTGGCTAACTGTGACGGCCCGAGTGCTGAACATAGGCACGAATTACTTCCCGTTAAACTTCTACCACAGCCCCGGGGGTGTGTAGGTAATGTTTGACGGCCACATTTTGGAGAAGCAGATGGAGGCCCAGGGTGTCATTTGTGCCGGACGCACGCTAGGAAGTGGTGGAGCCGGGTTTGGGAACCTTGCAGATTAGACGCGGAGCCCCAACTCGTGCTAGTGGGGGAATCCTGCATCACGAGATAAAGCTCATGCATGTAGCCGGAGTGTCCACAAAATCCCACATGGTGGGATTCCGGTCAGTTTTGAGGAAACAGTGGTTGAGGAAGTACGTTGGCATCATTGGGTGTGCCTGAGCCGTGTGCAGTGTTTCAGGGTTGGGTGTTTAGGGAACCATTCATCCCAGAGGCGGCAGCGAGCACCGGGTTGCTTGAATGACTCGGTTCCTTGAGTGCCATTGTCCTTTGAAATAATATTCTATTGAGATTTTTACAAACCCCTAAACATTCTGTTCCTCTAGTGTAGAAGAACATTGCTTGCGTTTAGCAAAACTGTCTTTTCAGTGTCTCAGAGGAGTGCATTTATCTGGGAATGGCTTCCTGTATTTATTTCTGATGTGATTTTCAAACTGCTTGAAAACAAAACCTAATTATTTCAGGCATCTTAGTCCTGCTTGAAGGTATTTCTGAATGAGGTTGGGTTAAATAAATTCTGATAACAGAATTTATCTGGTAACAGCAAAGACGAAGATGACTTATAATCATTTTCAATACAGCAGGTTTTGTATTTTTCATATGGACACGGATTTAAAAGGAATTTGCTTCAAAATAATGGGGGGGAGAACTCTCTCTCCCCCTTATGAGAGGAGGAGGAGCCAGGTGTGTTTGGTTGCTGGAGCCCAATGATGGAGATGGGGGAATTCATTTTTTAAAATTCTTTTCCCTATATGCTTGATATATTTCATAATAAAAGTGTTTTTTTTAAATCTATAGAATAGATAAAAATCCATCCTTACTGCTATATGTGCAGTAACTGGTTTTCTAAAGTCTGGCTGCGTTATTAAAGTGTTCACTTTGATGATGAAACTGTATACATGATGGCATAACCATTATTATTACTATTTTAAATACAGAATTTGCACAAGCAGTATTATGATTTAAGAGAGATTTTGCCATTTTCTTCATCCCTAGTTTTGTTCTTAATAAACCCTTCCTATGTATTTATTAAAAATCCTTCTCACTAGATAAAAATGTAATGATGAGGGCGCCTGGGTGGCTTAGCTGTTAAGCATCTGCCTTCTGCTTGAGTCATGATTGCAGGGTCCTGGGATCCAGCCCCGAGTCGGGCTCCTTCCTCAGCGGCAGGCCTGCTTCTCCCTCTCCCACTCTCCCTGCTTGTGTTCCCTCTCTCACTGTGTTGCTCTCTGTCAAAGAAATAAATAAAATCTTAAAAAAAAAATGTAATGATGAGTTTATGAGAATTTGTGTGGGAGGGGAAGGGTAAAGGGGAAGACCTCTACCAAAGCTGTAAGGCTAAATACTCATTCATGATTTATTATAAAAGCTTTTTACTCAGGTGGCCTAAAACTCAAGATCAGGAGAGCTAGATAATTTGACCAGTAGAGGTAGGTGGGAATTTGGGGTCACAAGTGCTCCAGGATGCTTTATGAAATGGAATGTTAAAACTAATTCCACTAAGTGCTTCTGAGTAACCAATCAATTCACTTCCTTGCTGCTGTTTGACATTCTCACAGTGACCATCTTTCCACCGTAGAAAAGGACACAAATGGAGAAGTTCTGTGGGTGTGGTGTTACCCTTCCACGACAGCAACTTTAAGGAATTTACTGCTGAGAAAATGCTGCCTTACAGATGAAAGCAAACTTCTCCATCCCTTTGTCTTTGGCCAGTACAGAAGAACATGGTTTTATATCACAACAGTCGAAGTTCCAGATTCTTCAGTTTTGATAAAGGTATGACTGCATAAAGGTCAAATGACCAAAAATATTTAAAGCGATGTCACATTATTCCAGTAACTCTTAGCTTTAGACATTATTGTTCACAATACACTTTTGAAAAAAATACTAAATACGATTTTCACTGGGAATGTTCCGTTTCAGGTTTCACTCTCATTTATTCTATAAACATTTGCTGGTGTATATTATATGACTGACCCTGTGGTTGGTATAGTGAAGCCTTTTCCAGGTTATACTCTGTTGGAGTTAGAAATGTAGAAGTACTTTCAAAGTCATGACTGTGATTAATAAAAGTGGAAAGAAACATTTTTCTATAATTAAAAACTTTTAAAGGGTAAAATCCTTGGCATAATTAAGAAAACTTTTCTCATTTGTTTGCGGATGGTAAGGATATTATTAAGAATAGAAAGGAGAGGTAAGGAAACTCATGTATTCAGTAGGCTTTTGGTGTATGTCATTTGATATGAACAGTATCAATGTGACATGTTGAAAACCAGCATGTGGTCATTGTGGGCCACGACGATCCTAATCCCAAGCAACCAGCATGTTTTTTTCAAAGAAAAGAAATATTAGAAAGTGGCTAAGCTCCTTGCATGTTCCTGGGTAGGGACTTCTTTTACCTTCTAGGGCTTTTATAGTAAATAACCAGACTATAAAAGGCATGTTCAAAATATCCATTTAAATTTAAGGAATTACATTTAAAATAACAGGAAGGCAACTATTTAAAAATGCTAAAGGTTTGGGGCCCCTGAGTGGCTCAGTCGGTTAAGTATTTGACTCTTGATTTTGGCTCAGGTCAAGATCTCAGGGTCCTGAGATCAAACCCCAGGGCTGCTTCTCTCCCTCTCCCTCTGCTGCTGCCCCCCCCCCAACATGTGCACTCTCTCTCTCAAAATAAATCTCATCTTAAAAAAATAAAACTGCTAGAGGTTTAAGCCAAAACAGATTCATAATTAGAAAATGTAAATTTGCAAAAAGATAATTTTCAGTGTGTTACAGAAGCTTTGGTTTATGTTCATTAAGTTCTTGCTAAGAGGTCTTAATGTATCCGCAAGTAGATTTATCTGTGTTTTGCCTGTAGTCTGCCAAACAATAGCAACATTGATCTCAAATCTGTTTTTCAGTTTGAAGAACAGCAAGATTTAGAGATAGTTCTTACACTTTAAAATATGATTTCTAAAAATTATGTTATTCATAATAATTTACTTAAATTCATAAATTTCTTTAAATGTTTTACTTTTTTTTTTTAATAAAGATTTTATTTATTTGTCAGAGAGAGAGAGAGTGCAAGTAACAAGTAGGCAGAGTGGTAGGCAGATGAGAGGGAAAAGCAGGCTCTCTACTGAGTAGGGAGCCCAATGTGGGGCTCGATCCCAGGACCCTGGGATCATGACCTGAGACGAAAGCAGCCACTTAACTGACTCAGCCACCCAGGTGCCCCTTAAATGCTTTACTTTTTATAATGTTCTTATTTTTTTCTCATTAGTAGAAATAATAGGTATACGATTACCAGAAATTTATATAGATAAGTGAAGTTTCTTTTAACAGTGCTTTAGACTATATGGCGTTCTACAGAGAACTGACTATTTTAGGAACTGTGTGATTGTTTTTTGTTGTTTTTTTTAAAGATTTTATTTATTTATTTGACAGATCACAAGTAGGCAGAGAGGCAGGCAGAGAGAGGGGGAAAGCAGGCTCCCTGCTGAGCAGAGATCCTGATGCGGGGCTTAATCCCAGGACCCCAAGATCATGACCCAAGCCGAAGGCAGAGCCTTAATGTACTGAGCCACCGAGGTGCCCCTGTGTTTTTTGTTTTTTGTTTTTTAAAGATTTTATTTGAGAGAGAGAGAAAGATCATGAGAAGGGGGAGGGGCAGAAGGAGAAAGAAAAACAGGCTCCCGCTGAGCAAAAGCCTGATGTGGGGCTCCATCCCAGGACCCTGGGGTATGACCTGAGCCAAAGGCAGATGCTTAATCAACTAAGCCACCAACGTGCCCCAAGGAACTGTGTAATTTTTACTGTATGTATTTTTGTTTTCTATCCTCCTATTTCATTAATTAATAGTTGATAAATTGGTAGGTCTAATGGCATTTCTAATTCTGCTTTGATGAGGTTAGGGAAATTTAATTTCTTATCTAGGTTAGGGAAATTTACATTCTTATCTAGGAAATTAATTATTTATGTATATATAAGTGTATGTCCTTTATATGCATGTGTATATGAGCATAAAAGTATAAAGAAGCAAGTGAAAACTTGGTTACATTTTGAGCTTTTCCTTTTAATGCCAGTCTGTCTTGTACAGAGGTTTGCTAGAATATGGTAATAAAAATTAAATCTGTGAAAGTGTCTTTAAAAAGTATACTTTTTTGTTTCTTTTGGACAGGTGACTCATTTTTCTATTGTTCTGACCGCCAAAGATTTTAACCCAGAGAAATATGCCGCCTTCACTAGGATATTGTGTAGGTCTGTATGAAAACTGTATTAAATGCTATCACACAAAAATGAAGATTTTACTCAATAGTTACATAGCAGATTTCTACACCAAGGAAGCAAATTTCAGCCCTCTGCCTCCCCAACTTAATCTTTACTTGCCCTCCAGAAACTGTTTTGTAAAGAGGAACTTTCTCTTCTGCTTTTATGACGCTGCTCCTCTTATTTGGGAAAACATAGAAGGGAGGAGAAAAAGCAATTTATGAACTATCGCAGTTCCTGGGGATTTTGAGTCACTTGCTGCTTTTGTTCTGCTGCTACTACTCACTTCCAGTTTAGAACTTTCCTTAGCAGGATGGATAAGTTAAATGCTGGTGAAGCGATAAGCTGGTTCATAAATGTCAAAGTCTGTGTGTGGGAGTCATTTTGGAGAAAATTAATGGGCATTTTGAATTATGCTAAAGCCCTGGAAAGTATTTCTCAGCTGGAATGCTGAGAAGCTGAGACTGTAATGAATTGGTTAATTGTGATTCGGGTAAACTTTAGTTTCATCCCGGATGCTGAAAAAAATTACGTAAGATATACCAATCTGCTTTCTTGCCTTGGTAAGTATATGCAGTGGAGTTAATGAAATCTTTCTTATTTGTTAGGGACATTGGTTTTTCCCAAACTAGGGCTTTGACATGTTTTGTTTGTTTGTTTTTTAATATTATTGTCGCGAGATAGACTTCGTAATTCTAATGTTATGTGTAACAACCTCACCCCTCAGGCTTATGCCCAATAACTAGTTTTGGGGTGGGGGACAAAGGGAGTTGTTTTTGTTTTTCTCACTATGAGCTTGATAAATGTACTTTTTTTTTTTTTGCCATTTTTGTGTATGCGCATTCGTATATATATCTATCTGTAGCAGAAGTCCACTTTCTCATTACTTAAGGGTTTCAGGTTGGTTATATTTTGACAAAATGAAGTTTTACTGGTTTTGCAGCCAGCTATGATAAGAGAGGCTTCTTGCTCGCCGAAGATAAGTTGCAGGTAAATAGTTCACTGTGGGGTGTAAACAGTTGTCTGCTACTATGGTACTGACACCAAAGGAGATTGTTATCTCCTAGACACCATCTAGAAGCCATGAGCTAAAAACTCTGCAAAGTCGTTTTTGAACAAATACTGGACTCTCATTTCATTGGATTGGGTCCAGGTTAGGTTACCCATTGAATTCAATGGGAAATATTCTGGGGCCCAGAGTGTAAGGTTGCTTTAGAGCCCACTTCCTGCCCGAGAGGAAGCCCAAAGGGTTCTTCGGCTTCTCTAGTGCCATGGCATTGTTGCATTCTGGACTCTTCTCCTGTCACGGTTTAGGAGAAATGAGGACTCAAAGCTATTGCAGCCATCTCCTCTGCCCCTACCCCTTACTGCACTTGCTCTCACCTGTGTATATACCCACACACTCCTGCACGCACACGTGCTCACACACACACACGCATACATGCATACACACTCACTCTCCTCACTGCTATGTCTGTGTGCACAGGCACACAGCACTTTTTAGTGATGCTGAGGTTACCATGGAGGGGCTCCCTTCCATCTCGGGGGAGAGGAACAGGCAGGTGTGCCTTCTGCGTGCTGCTCATGGTTGCCATGGGAAGGGGTTCCTTCCCTGTGTGGGGTCCGGGTCATTTGCCATGACCGCCTTCATCTTCTTGTGCCTCCAGCTAGTGGCCAGGGCAGAGAACCTGGGTTGCCTACACACGTAGAGTCAGTTGTCCATGCATGCGACAGCCTGCGGCTATGGCCGTCCCATCTGTATAAGTTCCCCTAAGCTGGACTTTGTGTTTTTCCTACGGAATGACTTGGGGGAATTGCTCCCTCCGTTCAGTATTTCATGGCCCAGGGTTGTCATGGAAAAAGTAGTTTTACCGTACTACCCTTCCTATGTTTCCCTTCTTCATTACCGTATATCATTTCTATCTTACAGTTTCTTTTTTTTTTTTTTTTTAAGATTTTATTTATTTATTTGACAGAGAGATCACAAGTAGTCAGAGAGGCAGGCAGAGAGAGAGAGGGAAGCAGGCTCCCTGCTGAGCAGAGAGCCCAATGTGGGGCTTGATCCCAGGACCCTGAGATCATGACCTGAGCTGAAGGCAGAGGCTTAACCGACTGAGCCACCCAGGCGCCCCTCTGTCTTACAGTTTTAATGGTGTGTTGTTTGGTGGTGGTAATGTAGGCACATAGTAAAAAAATACAAGCAATACAGAAAGGTATACAATAAGTCCCTTCTTTCCCCTATCCCCAACATCCAAACAGAGACATTTTCTCCATATAGAAATGCGTGTGTGAGTTCATGGGTTCAGTTATTTTATATATATGATAGCTTACCACAGTCATTGTTCTCTACCTTTTTCTTTCTCAATTTGTGCATTAAAAATAAAAAAAATGATGATTGACAAAATTTGGTTAGTAGTTAAAACACTTGCTTTTCTTCACTTAATGTACAATAAATATCACTTTCAATTGGATGTATTTTAAACCATGATTTTATTTTCTTTCCAGTTTTCTATCCCTTTAGCTACTAAAAGACCCAGGTAGGCTGAGGCTGCTTCTCAAGCACAGTTTAGATTTTAGTTATTCACTGGGAGAGATTTTAGGGGAAGGGACTGATTTCACAAATGAGCTATAATTGTAGCCAGTTTCCTGTCAGCACTTTCTGGAACTTGATGATGAATAGATCTAGAGTGCATTTATCACCAGAAACTTACAGGAGTTTGGTTTCTTAATTATCTAAATATAGCTACCTCTGGGAACTCTGATAATAAATATAGGTTCTATAATTAGTGCTTTCTCTGTGAACAACGCAAAACTCCTTCCTTGTCAAAGGAAGTCCCAGCAATAAGATAGAGTTGTTCTGACTAGAAACACCACTTGTGAATGTAAGACATACAGAGAGATAAGTATACCATATTTTTAAGAATAATGGGGCCTCAACAAGTCCATAGGTCATTCTCCTGCCTGAGTGAACGATAACAGGCTTCCCCAGATATAAAGAGAAAGCCACCTTCCAGGAATTGTTGAAGGTCTTGAGTGGTTATTTTTTGGATAAATTTTCAAATTAAATTTTAGAAGTAGTCTAGGCATGCAGATTCAGGCATTCAGAAGTATATTAGCAAGCTGACTCAGATATTGTAGCAAGGACCCGCACATAGCCTGGGGTTGCGTTGCTCTATGTCGTTCATGCTGAAGAAGAGCATGGTTGCTTTTTGTCTTTTCTTACAGAATGTACCTGAAACACGGGAGCCCAGTTAAAATGATGGAGAGTTACATTGCAGTTCTCACAAAGGGGATATGCCAGAGTGAAGAAAATGGCTCTTTCCTTAGCAAGGATTTTGATGCCCGAAAGGCTTATCTTGCAGGCTCCATCAAAGGTAAAAAACCAAACCAACAAACAAACCAAAAAAAAAAACAAACAAACCCAAAACCCAAAAAACAAAAGCACAGAACAAAAACCCATCCCAGATGGTTCCATCCCAACAACAATAATGTCCCCAAGCCCAGGGCAGTCCCCGTTAGGCTCTGAGAATCCATTTTCCTGTATGCTTTCATCTGTGTGATTTTTATTTGCTAAATAGGCAGGTAGTTCAACTTCTACATTGCCTTATTTGATTAGAATGCTGTCGTAGGAAAGCAGATTTTTGTGGCGGTCCTTTCCATAGGATTCTGACAGTACAGAAATGTTCTTTTACGGGAAAGCTTCGTCTCACAGCTCAAGTCTCCACTGACTTCCATAGTGTTCCTGTCCTTACATTTTAGCAGTTACTACTTCCATGTGGAGAGCTCCAGCCCCTGGCCCAGAGTTCCTCTTCGAACTTCCGGCCTTTCTCTCCTACTGAGCATCCAAAATGACAGTACAGGGCCGAGCACAGACTTCAAGCTCCTTAAAGGAGAGGGGAGCTCTGAGGGTCCCACTAGCTCTCATTCTTTCCCTCCCACAGCACTGTCTGTGGGACAGCACTCCTGTTCTAGACCTTTTCAAAGCCGTGCCGTTGGGAGTCTTAGGTTTGTCAGCTCTCTCAAGAGGACCTAAGTCATGACATGTGTATGTGTCGAGGGCAGAAGGCAGAGGGTGTTGGTGCACTTTTAATTTTTAAACTTAAGGATTTTTCATGATGGAAAGCTGCTGGTTCCTTTAATATCATTTACTCTGCTTTCTTGTGACTCTGGCTTCTCCTGTGCAGCCAGCCCAGAATCTCTTGGGGGCAGGTTTAGGCTACTATAGCGTCCGTCCTAGGGAGTGGGTAGGGATTTCTGTGCCCATCAAGGGTATAAGGTGCTTCTTTGTTCTCTGTATTGAGAATATTTTTGTATTCTGTATATAGAGAAGAATCTCAGTGTTTATTGGAAAGAATCCTTTCCAGTTTTATTTCCTTACCTATTAGTTTAACACACTAACATTTTAATTTCTTGTCTTTTAAGACATTGTATCTCAGTTTGGAATGGAAACTGTTATCTTACATACAGCGCTGATGCTAAAGAAAAGAATTGTCGTCTATCACCCCAAAATAGAAGCTGTCCAGGAGTTCACCAGGTATCGTCTCTGGTCATTGAGAAGCGGAGGCTTTGTTGGCAGCCAATTTGGGGCAGTCTGCATTCCGTGTGCTCTGTTCCGTGGCACATTTGGAGTAAATAGAACGCGTTAGGCTGTGAGTGAAATGCCATTTTGGTCTAATGTTTCAGGTGAGATTTAGTTGTTGAAGGTCACGAATTTAGGCAGATTCTTCCTTATATTTAGAAACATGAATACTTTAGAACAGGGAGTTTGAACTTTTCCTTGCCAGACAGTAAATATTTTAGGCTTGTGGGCCATAGGGTGTCTGTCCCAACCACCCAAAATGCCAGAGCCAGTGCGTACGTGCGTGAATGAGTGCACCTGTGTTCTGCTTACACTTTATGTGTAAACACAGGCAGCCGATCCATGGGCACAGGTTCCTGACCCCTGGTTTTTTTTTTTTTTTTTTAGATTTTATTTATTTGTTTGATATAGACATAGCGAGAGAGGGAACACAAGCAGGGGGAGTGGAAGAGGGAGAATCAAGCATCCTGCTGTGCAGGGAGCCCGATACAGGGCTCCATCCCAGGACCCTGGGATCATGACCTGAGCCAAAGGCAGACACTTAATGACTGAGCCACCCACGCGCCCCTGACCACTCTTTTAAATAATCCATTTTTTCACTTTTATCACAGACTCTTCTTCATTTTTTTTTCTTTTTGAGATTTTATTTATTTATTAGAGAGCGCACACATGGGGGAGAAGGGGAAGAAGAGAAATAAGCAGACTCCACACTGAGCAGAGAGCCTGACGTGCAGCTCCATCTCAAGACCCTGAGATCATGACCCGAGCCAAATCAAGAGTTCGATACTTACTGACTGAGCCACCTGGGAGCCCCTCTCTTATTTTTATAACAAAGATTTTTTTTTTTTTAAACAGTACTGTTTTCTTTTTTTTTTTAAGATTTTATTTATTTATTTGACACAGAGAGAGAGAGAGATCACAAGTAGGCAGAGAGGCAGGCAGAGAGAGGAGGAAGCAGGCTCTTGGCTGAACAGAGAGCCCAATGGGGGGCTCGATCCCAGGACCCTGAGATCATGACCTAAGCCGAAGGCAGAGGCTTTAACCCACTGAGCCACCCAGGCGCCCCCCCTAGCTTTTGTTCTTACTATAGGCCAGGTATCGTGTAAGTCACCTTAAATTATTAAATTTACTTACGACACAAGTCTGCAAGGAAGTATTAGTGCCCTCTCTTACGGATGAGAAAATTGAGGCTCCAAAATGCTACCAGTTAGAAAATGGGAAAAAGAAGGCTTAGTAGTCAGAAGGACCTGTGTTAAAGTCCTGGGAGGGCACCCTCCTAGCTCTGTGACCAGGTACAGGATACTTAAGCTTTCTAAGCCTCTGTTTCTTCTTTTTTTTTTTTTTTTTTTTAAAGATTTTATTTATTTATTTGACAGACAGATCACAAGTAGGCAGAGAGGCAGGCAGAGAGAGAGAGGGAGAAGCAGGCTCTCTGCTGAGCAGAGAGCCCGATGCGGGGCTCGATCCCAGGACCCTGGGACCATGACCTGAGCCAAAGGCAGAGGCTTTAACCTACTGAGCCACCGAGGCGCCCCTAAGCCTCTGTTTCTTTATCTGAAAAATGAAGATAACAGTGCCCACTTGGTCAGCTTGTTGTCAGGATTGGAGACACTCTGTAAAGTACTTGGCGTGTACCTTGCCCGTTGTGTGCACGTTAGAAATGATTGCTTGGACTGCAACTGGCTCAGATCTTACGTGAGAGGGCCGGAACTTTCACTCTGCTCTGATCCCCAAAGCCTCTGTTTTGTCACCCAATTACCCTTTTCCTCTACATTTATGCTCTGAAACTGGGACATCCACAGCATCTGAAATACATAGCTGGGCACCAGAGGATTCACCAAATCACTGTTAAGTTCAGCATCTCTTCCTGCAGGAGCTGTATTATTGGAAGTTTTTTAAGAAATTTGTCTTGTATAAAAACAAACACAAAATAGTTTTTAAGTTTGGTCGGGATTTTTTTTTTTAAAGATTTTATTTATTTATTTGACAGACAGAGATCACAAGTAGGCAGAGAGGCAGTCAGAGAGAGAGAGGAGGAAGCAGGCTCCCTGCCAAGCAGAGAGCCTGATGCGGGCCTCGATCCCAGGACCCTGGGACCATGACCTGAGCCGAAGGCAGAGGCTTTAACCCACTGAGACACCCAGGCGCCCTTTTTTTTTTTTTTAAAGATTGATTTATTCATTTGAGAAAGCACAGGCAGGGGGAGAAGCATGGGGGAGTGAGAAGCGGACTCCTTGCTGAGCAGGGAGAAGCGGACTCCCTGTGGAGCTCCATCCCAGGACCAGGAGATCATGACCTGAACCCAAGGCAGACACTTAACCCATCTGAGCCACCCAGGCATCCTGATCGGAATTTTATTTATTTATTTATTTATTTATTTATATTTTATTTTATTACTTTTTAATTTATTTATTTGACAGAGAAAGAGACAGCGAGAGAGGGAACTCAAGCAGGGGGAGTGGGAGAGGGAGAAGTAGGCTTCCTGCCAAGTAGTGAGCCTGATGCGGGGCTCAATCCCAGGATCCTCAGATCAAGACCTGAGCTGAAGGCAGATGCTAAACGACTGAGCCACCCAACCCCCTCCCCCCATCGGAATTTTATTTTATTTTTAAAGATTTTATTTATTTGACAGAGAGATCACAAGTAGGCAGAGAGGCAGGCAGAGAGAGAGGAGGAAGCAGGCTTTGCTGAGCAGAGAGCCCGATGCGGGGCTTGATCCCAGGACCCTGAGATCATGACCTGAGCTGAAGGCAGAGGCTTTAACCCACTGAGCCACCCAGGCGCCCCCCCCCCACTTCAGAATTTTAAATGTGAAGTGAGAACTTCAAAAATTCTTGTTGCTTGTGGGGCCCTGCTTTGGATCCTACCTTCAGACTCCCGTCCGTGGCGGTTTGCAGAGTAGGTGTTGGGAGGAAAGCTTCTAGAAGCGCTGCTCCGTGCCCCCCACGGAGATCCTTTGAAACTTCACCTTGAGCTTTCTGCAGCTCATCTGACTCCAAAAAGGCAGAGTTTAAAATATTGCATGACTTTAACTGAAGCCTGGAGGCACGTTTAGCATTCCTTCTCCCCTCTGCCTCTGGTAGCCAGTTTCCTTCTGGGGAGGGAGGGGGGAGGGTGCCCTGCGTCATGCGTGTGCAGGCAACCATGTGAGCTCTTGCCTTATTCCCCAGGACTCTGCCTGCCCTGGTGTGGCATCGACAGGACTGGACCATACTTCATTCCTATGTGCACCTGCAGGCGGAGGAGCTGGAGGCCCTGCAGATGTGCCCAGGTAGACACAGCATTTCAGTGAAATTCAACCTGACAATAGCCAGGGCTGTTGTTGGTTTGAGGGAGTATTTTTGCATTCCTAAAGGGAATAACGATGATTTATTATTTCTTTGGTAAATGCAACCAAGCCTTTAACCTTAAAAAATTTATTTGTAAGTTTTTAAAATACTGCAGTAAAATACACATAAAATTTACCATCATAGTCATCTTTAAGGATGTAATTCAGAGTCACTAAGTACATTCACTTTGCACAACCATCACCAAATACGATTTACTTTTAATTTGTGCAATTCTCATTTTAAAAGTTCCCTATCAGTGATTTATTTGATTTAGACTTTATTTTGCGCCTTTCCATATTTTTTTCTCAAAGGAAAAATAAAATTATTTTTAAGTGATGTAGTTACTCTTGTATAAAAATTTTCAATGGTAAGATTCTGAGAACAATTTAATAACACAGTATTATTTATATCTGTAGGAATTCTAACGTTGTGGTGACGTAGTCTTTTGTTTTTGTTTCTTTAAATTTAAGGATATCATGCCCTGTATACTTTTATGGCCTTAAGAGATCCTTTCATGAAGTGATAATGATGATGATAGATAGTAGGGGCTTTTGTCTTTGCTTTTTCAATTATGAAAAATTTCTCACATATAAACTAATGTGCAATATTTATTCAAGTTATAAAAAAATAGAATACTCACAGCCTCACCAGAGATGAAAAAGTAGAATACTATTAGTACTTTGAAGCATCTCATGTGCCTTCCCATCTCATTCCTCACTCCCTTTCTCTAGCCGCATACACGGAAACACAGAGCTCTAAATAATACATTGTTTAGTTTTACTAAACTAACTTTATATATGTGGATTCATGATGAATGAATTCTTCTGTGGTTTTTGTTTTATTTTTGCTTAACAATATTTCTGTAGGATTTATGTTTTTTTTTCTTTTTTTGGAGATTTTATTTATTTATTTGACAGAGAGTTAGAGAGGGAACACAAGCATGGGGAGTGGGCAAAGGAGAAGCAGGCTTCCCGCAGAGCAGGGAACCTGATGTGGGGCTTGATCCCAGGACCCTGGAATCATGACCTGAGCCAAAGGCAGATGCTTAACTGCTGAGCCACCCAGGTGCCCCAGGATTTATGTATTTTCATGTGAATATTTGTAGTTTCACTCATTTTCACTGCTGTCTAGAATCCCATTAAGTGATATGCCAAAGTTTATTCACTCAGACTTTTCTCCTTATTCTTATTTATTTATTTATAAGATTTATTTCTCTATTTCAGAGAGAGAGAGAGAGCATGCAAGTGGGAGGGTGGAGAGGGGCAGAGGGAGAGAATCTCAAGCAGACTCCCCACTGAGTGCGGAGCCCACTGCAGGCTCAGTCCCAGGACCCTGAGGCAATGACCTGAGCTGAAATCAAGAGTCAGTCGCTCAACCGACTGAGCCACCCAGGCACCCCTCTCATTATTCACTTTTGAACAGTGCTGCTGGGGTGCCTGGGTGGCTCAGTGGGTTAAGCATCTGCCTTCAGCTCAGGTCATGATCTCAGGGTCCTGGAATCAAGCCCAACATTGGGCTCTCTGCTCAGCAAGGGAGCCTGCTTCCTCCTCTCTCTGTCTGCCTCTCTGCCTACTTGTGATCTCTGTCAAATAAATAAATAAAATCTTTTAAAAAGCAAACAAACAAATAAAACAGTGCTACTATAGCCATTTTTATTATGGGTCTCTTGGTGCGCATATGTAAGACTTTCTCTAGGTTATATGGCAAGAAGTAAAATTTCTGGGTTATAAGGCATGCAGATCCTCAAGCTGCAGGGCGATGCCAAATGTTTTCCTCAGAAACTGTACCAGTTTACCCTCTACAGGGGAGGAGAGGTCCCGTTGTTTCATGTCCTCAACAACTCTTGGTTACTGTCAAACTTTAAAATGTTTGCCAACTTGGTGGCTGTACAATGTTATTTCATGTGCTTTTAATTTATATTCTCTTGATTCCTAATGAGGTTTAACGTATTTCTGTTTTTGCCGTTTGTGTTTCCTCTTCTGCAGAGTAACTGTCTTTTACATATTTTTCCACTGGGTTGTTTTTTTGATGGATTCATAGAAATTCTTTATATATTCAGGATATGAACCCATTGTTGGTTATATATGCTTCAAAAAAATCTCCGAGTTTGCGGGTTTTTTGTTTATTCTCATATCTTATAATGAATAGAAATTTTTTTTTAGACTTTTTATTAAGTGTAATATGCTTCATGTACTTGTCACCCAACTTTAACATTTGTGAACATTTTACAATCTTGTTTTACCTTGTATCCCTCATGTTTTTTTTCCCCTGGTTTTTTTTCTTTCTTTCTTTCTTTTTTTTTTTTTTAAAGATTTTATTTATTTATTTGACAGACAGAGCTCACAAGTAGGCAGAGAGGCAGATGGTGGGGGTGGGAAGCAGGCTTCCTGCTGAGCAGAGAAACTGACTCTGGGCTGGATCCCAGGACCCTGGGACCATGACCCGAGCCGAAGGCAGAGGCCTTAACCCACTGAGCCACCCAGGCGCCCCTCCCCCTGGTTTTTGTTGTTAATTGATGTATAGTTGACATACGCTATTAGTTTCAGGTATACAAAGTTGTGATTTGACAGTTACATCCATTATGAAACATTCACCATAATAAATTACTCACCATCTTTCACCCCATTAAGGTATTACAGTATTATTGACTGTTTTCCCTATGCTGTACTTTTCATCCCTGTGACTTACTTATTTTGTAACTGGAAATTTATCCGTCTTCATCTCCTTCACCCATTTTGCCCATCCCCTTACTTTGGAAATCCTAACTTTAATGTGTTGGAATTTATTAAACTTTTCTTTTATGATTTCAGTTTTGATATTTTGTTTAAGAAAATCTTTATACCAAGGGTAGAAGCAAATTTTGTAAAAATTTAAGGAGTGTTTTTCTTCTCAATTTAAGTCTTTAATATACTACCTAGAACTACTTTTTTTTTTTAAAGATTTTATTTATTTATTTGACAGAGAGAGAAATCACAAGTAGGCAGAGAGGTGGGCAGAGAGAGAAGGGGAAGTAGGCTCCCTGCTGAGCAGAGAGCCCGATGCGGGGCTCGATCCCAGGACTCTGAGATCATGACCTGAGCCAAAGGCAGAGCCTTAACCCACTGAGCCACCCAGGCATCCCTAGAACTACTTTTTTTTAATAGTGAGTTTGGAATTTTTTTTCCCAGGTGGAAAGCCACTTGGCTCAGGATTACTTAGTGAATAGGGTTCTCTTTTCTCCAGTAATCAGTGTCATTTCTGTCATATGTCACAGTTTCTCATGTGAATGAGTCTGTGTTTGCCTGGCCTGCAGTTAAATTTTTGTTTTTGTCACTGTTTTTTTTTTTTTTTTTTTAATGTTTTCTCTTGGTAAAGCAAAACCTTAGCATTGATAAATTGGTCCTCAAAAAAATTTTTTTTGTTTTTAATTGCTCTGCTATGTGAAATCTGAAAAGTCTGGTAGCTCTTGTTTTAGCCTCAGTTCCACAGGTCTGCTCATTTTTTTTTTTTTAAGATTTTATGTATTTATTTATTGAGAGAGAGAGAGCACAAGTAGGCAGAGAGGCAGGCAGAGAGAGAGGGGAAGCAGCTCCCCACTGAGCAAAGAGCCTGACACAGGGCTTGATCCCAGGACCTGAGATCATGACCTGGGTGGAAGGCAGAGGCTTAACCCACTGAGCCACCCAGGCGCCCCAGGTCTGCTGATTCTTGAGTTGCCCCGATTCCTTGAGTGTTTGTCGGATCCGATCTGAAACCGGTGACAGATGATGCCGTCCCTGATAAAGCAGGTGTTTGGCTGTGGTTTCTTAGCGACAAAGACCTAACGGGGGAACTGGCCCAGAGAACCCTTGCTCCCTCTGCCTCAGCATCATTCTTGACCTGAATAGCAATGTCTGAAAAGTAAATGCCTTCTTCCTTGACACTGAAATCTAGTTTTGGGTCATCTGGAGTTGAATGAGCTTCTTCAGGCAGCTGACAATAGTGAAGTCTTTTTTTTTCCTTTTTTTTAAGATTTTATTTAACAGAGAGAGAGAGAGAGATCACAAGTAGGCAGAGAGGCAGGCAGAGAGAGAAGGAGGAAGCAGGCTCCCTGCTGTGCAGAGAGCCCAATGCGGGGCTCCATCCCAGGACCCTGAGATCACAACCTGAGCTGAAGGCAGAGGCTTAACCCACTGAGCCACCCAGGTGCCCCACAATAGTGAAGTCTTAAGAAAATGCCACAGGCTGCTGTTGACAAACCCTGAATAAAGCCGTGAAGAAAAGCATCTCCTGAGCTTTTATTTTTATTTATTTATTTATTTATTTATTAAAATATTTTATTTATTTATTTGACAGACATAGATCACAAGTAGGCAGAGAAGCAGGCAGAGAGAGAGGTGGAAGTAGGCTCCCCGCTGAGCAGAGAGCCTGATGTGGGGTTCAATCCCAGGACCCTGGGATCATGACCTGAGCCGAAGGCAGAGGTTTTAACCCACTGAGCCACCCAGCCGCCCCCCTCCTGAGCTTTTAGACTCGATTCTCATACATTCACAGCAGGACTTGCTCCTACTCTGGTAATGTCAGTCCTCTTCACAATGCAGGTTACATCGCCGGGTTTGTGGACTTGGAGGTGAGCAGTAGATCAGACCTCTATGACGTGTTCGTGAACCTGGCGGATAGCGAGATCACCATCGCTCCGCTCGCGAAAGGTCAGTTCTCTCTCCTGCTCTGTTGTTGATACAAAATGTCAGCCAAGCACTTGTACTCTTTAAAATTAATTCATTTTTAAGCATTTTGATTGCGGTGTAATTGACACCGTGTCCGGTTAGTCTCAGGTGTGCAGTGGAGAGATCCGGTGGTTCCGCACGTTACAGTGCGCGTCGGGATGACTGTGCTCTCAACCCCTTCACCTGTTTCACCCATTCCCCCCGGCCTGCCTTAACCAGTTCTGTTTTTTCAGACTGATCCTCTAAAACTGGTATTTGAGGGCCTGCGTAACCTGCTGTGCTGAAACTAGAGGGATTTTTCTGTGTCTAGAACACAGCGTTTGTTCTTACGGGCCTCGCCGTGGTACTGATACCTTCGGGGTGCTTAGGCCATACAATCCATGTTAATAAGATAGTCTCCTTATCTTGTTCCTCCACATCTCTGTTTAAACAAGCTGTATTAGTTCTCTGCTGCATAACAGATCACTTCTAAATTTAGTGATTTAAAACAGCAAATACTTACTATCTCATTTTGAGGACCGACTTAGCTGAGAGGTGCTGGCTTAGGGTCTGTCTTGAGGATTCAGTCAAGATACTGCCAGGGCTGCTGTCCTCCCGAGGCTCGACTGCCAAGTGAGCTCGTGTGGCTTTCGCAGGAGGTCTCACCACGGGGGCCTCTCTGTAGAGCAGCTGGAGTGTTCTCATGGCACCACAGCTGGCTTCCCCAAGAGCGAATGATCTGAGAGACAGAAAGACCACGGTGCCTTTTATGACTCAGTCTCAGAAGTCATACGCCAGTTCCTCTATATTCTGTTGGTTAGAAGGAAATCATGAAGTCCCATGCACACTTAAGAGAGGGGAACCGGGTTCCACCCCTTGAAGGACAGAGTATCAAAAGAGGTATAGAAATGTAGCAGCGCACAAGGGTTGAGCGTGACTCCTGTGTGGAAAATCTTTTTGAACGGTGTGTCAGTAAGCCCAGGGGAATGAAGGTAAGAGCCATTTGTAAAGCTACCGGGGCAAGGGCTAGCAGTGGCCTGGGCCACTGAAACTGGGAAAGCATTAGGACCGGGCCTGGTTGGGGGGCGGGGGGCGGCCCTCTCCCTGCTGCCTGTGGCTGCTCCGATTCTAGAACATGAGCCCATCCCAGCCAGCATTACATGAATGGGGTTTGGTCCTTGGAGTGACAAACAGAGAAGTTTTTATTTTGAACATGAAGTATAAGTCATGGTTATGCCTCACCTCGTCGCACAGCGTCCCACTTGTGCTCAGTAATAAGACGGAAATGTGGGAGGTTGTCATTTGGTTGTTTTGAAAGTTCCCTCTGGGTGATTGTTGACCTTTTCAAGTGGACGGCTTGGTTTTTATTATGTAAACGTCTAAATAGTCACACATGTGCTTGATCTCACCAGAGGCTATGACAATGGGCAAACTGCACAAAGACATTGGCCAGCTCATTGTTCAGTCTGCAGAAGATCCTGAGAAATCAGACAGCCAAGTTATACAGGTAAGTCGTCAGTGCTCCGACACTGAAAGTCCCAAAGCCGTGTTGCTGGGCAGGGGGCGGCAGGGCTGCATGGAGTGCCCGGGGCTCTGAGCGGCCGGGGGGCAGATGCTCCGACGAGGGTCTGCAGGATGGCCCTGGTGAGGATGAGCGGGTGAGGGGCGCCATTGGCCGAAGAGTTAGCGAGCTCTGGAGACAGATGTACACCGGGGACCAGTGCTGAAGGCCAGCATTCCCAGTAGGAAGTGTAACTCCCCAGTGGTCTGGAATGCTTCTGTGGCCAGCCAGTGCATTCCGTGCCCCCAGCAGAATTTTCATGGAGGAACACGTTGTAAAGAGAAGGTTGCTGTGCAAATTGGTCAGAAACTGAGCAGCGGAATCTAGACAGCCTTTTGTTTGTTTGTTTTGCTCCTCTGTTTCATGAGCTTACTGTTAGCCCAAATAAAAGCCCAAACTCCTTATTAACATAGTCCTTAAGATTCTTCACAGCTGCACCTCTTTCCATATGCCCCATGCTTTTCTTGACCATAACTCCCTTCTTAGAGCATCTTTATCTAGCTTTGATGTATTGTGTTCAGAACATCAGAAAGCATATAATCAGATCCCTGCCAAAGCAAGCAGGCTCTGGGATCGCACCCTGCAGGGCTGGCCGCCGGTGGGGGCTACCTGCCTGCGGGCTCTACTTGTCAAGCTGACCATGGTGTTCGTGTGGACCCGCCCCCTGCCCTTGCCAGGTTGGGATAGTCAGAGAGTGTCTTTAAGTCTCTCCATGTGGTGATGGAGCCCCTCCTCCGCACCACAGCCTGCTCCTTGCTCCTCCCCTGGGATATACTCCCAGCCTGGCCTCTCCCACATCTTGGCTCATCTGGACCCTTGTGTCATCCTGTGGGGGCCAGAGGCCTGGAAGGATTGTCTCCCACTCTCTGCACCTGTGCCACCTCGGGGGGGCTCCTCTGATAAGCAGGCCCCGCGCACCTGGTTGGACCTGGCTCTTTTCTCCATTTATTCATTCATTTACCCCGAAGATATGTATTGAACACTGACTCTTTGTCGGGCATCAGGCAAGGGGGATGGATACTGCGGGGAGCAGAGTCTCCTGCCTTTGTGGCCTGTATTTACTGGAGTAGATGAATAGAAAATTCTGTAAATGCCAGATCACCGCGAGCCGTGATGAATGAATGCCGTGACAGAACAAGAGGGCAAGGTAGAGAGTGTTAGAGAAGGGGTCACACAGCTTTCTGAAGAGGCGGCCTGTGAGTTAAAGGCTGAGAGGAGCCACCACTTTGACAAGAACCCGGCAGCAGTACTGTTCTTTCCGTTCCGTGCTGGTGGCCCATTCTGCTCTGGCCAGGAAGAGTGGGCGGGTCTTGTCCTAAGGACCTGAACACTGAGACTCTCCTCTCCTTCCATGGGGATCATCGTTGCCCATCCATCCCTCTGTCAACATTTGGGTAAAAACTGGTTTTTTTTTAAGATTTATTTGAGAGAGAGAGAGTGAGTGAGTGGAGGGAGGGGCAGACTCCCTGCTTAGTGGGGAGCCTGATGTGGAGCTCGATCTCAAGACCTATGAGATCATGACCTGGGTCAGAACCAAGAGTCAGGTGCTTAAGCAACTGAGCCACCCAGGCGCCCCCAACACATTGACTCTTTACAGTGTTGGTTAACTGTGTAAATATGAGTTTTGAATTAGTGTGTTTTTTATGGGCTCAAAGTGATACACAGGTGACTCGGTATAATGTACGAGGAAAGTGCCTCGCATATTGTAGGGGTTTGAAAATATGTGAATGAATGAATGATGTCAACAAACCAAGCAAAAGACGTGACTTAATGTGAGCTCTGGGGACTCCTCCGCCATACAAAGCGCTGTCAGTCAGTAAGGAGGAACAAAGCCCACGTGACAGGTGCTGGGTCACTCACGCCAGGCAGCAGAGCACTTCCAGAGGACGTTTGTACTAAAAACAAGAGCAGGGTTCCTCAAAAAGTTAAACACAGGATTACCGTAGATCCAGCAGTTCTGTTGGATCTATGTGAGAAAGAATCGGAAACGGACTCAGATAAGTACTTGTACACCAGGTTCATAGCAGCACTATTCACAGTAGCCAGTAGGTAAAACATAGCCCAAATGTCCATCCGTGGATGCATGGATAACAGACTCACGCATGGAGTGGAAGACCATTCAGCCTTAAAAAGGCATGAAGTTCTAGCCTGTGCTACCACATGGACAAACTTCGAAAACATGCTCAGTGAGAGAAGCCAGACACAAAAGGACACATACTGTGTGATTTCACTTACAGGAGGCACCTAGAGTAAGCAAATTCATCGAAGCAAAAAGTAGAATGGTGGTTACCAGGAGTTGGAGATGGGATGGGGAGTTACTGTGTAATGGGTACAAAATTTCAGTTTGGGAGGATGAAAAAGTCCTGGAAATGGATAATAGTGATAAAACTCTGTGAATGTACTTAAAGGCACTGAATCATCCACTTAAAAATGGCTAAAATGGCAAAAACAGGACACTGGTTTTCCTAAGTTGTTCTAAGTTTGTTTCATTTTTCCTAACTTATAAGTGTGATAAACTTAAAAATATCAGGAAGGATTCTCTTTGAAGGCAACAATGATTCATATTTGCCTGTTCCATTGAAGGATATTTCCCTAAAAACGAGAGAAATCTTCACCAACCTGGAACCATTTTCAGAAGTTTCTGGTGATGGAGAAAAGCTAGTCCTCAACTTTGAGGCCCTAAAGCAAAGACGATTTCCACCAGCAACAGAAAACTTCCTTTACCATCTCGCAGCAGCGGAGCAGATGCTGAAAATCTGATTGTGACGACGTATCACGGAAGAATGATCACTCGCACCACGATTATCCACTAACTATGTAAAATACTGAAAATAACAAAATGTTCTATTTTTAATGGTTTATTTGGAAGTATTGCGATTTGACCTGAAAGAGTCCTGAAACACGTATGAAAACCCTTCCGATTTTCTTCTGATTGATTTCCTGCCTGGGCTCAGTGTTGGACAAAGTGCTGTAACTACTTTGTATAACGTTAGCAATGGTGTGGCATCCTGGAGGAAGAGAGAAAAAGCTCTGCCAAGTTCTTGTGCAAATCACAGCAAACCCAAAAGCCTTCGTTATGATAAGTTCCAGTTGTCTCACTGCGTAGCCACCAACTAACAGTTTATTTTCAGAAAGCTGCCGAAATTTTGCTTCATATTCTTCTAGGAAGAACTTTTATTCCTCATGAGGAACTCTACTTTCTGAGCCAAACTAAGTTTTCTGCAGAACAGTCTAGAAGATCATTCAGAAAAGATCCTGCAGTTGCACTTTCTTGTAAAAGAATTTTTTTGTCTTGGCCTTTGAACATTTTTGCCTATATTATGAGGATTTTGCATAGATTTTATACTTGAGTAGACAACTTTAATAATCCATATTTATACTGTCACAGAGGTAAGCATTTGGCAAACTGAAGCCACTAGTACTCTTTAATTAACCCTGTTGCTAGCAATGTTCTTTTTTAAAAAGATGCCAGTGATTATATGGTAGAGTAAATAAGAAGCCCATTTTGGATGTAAAGGTCTGTATGAATGAAACAGCAACTTCCCATAATTGCCAAGGCCAAGACCAGAGGGTGTCTTCAGACTTCAGGAAAAGTAATTTGGCCACATAAGAAGGTAACCGTTCTTGTTCAGGTTATGTATCTTTTTCATAATTGGAGACTTAAAAGTTGCAAAATAAGCATGGAGGTCTAAGTTCTGTATTTGTTATTTTATTCTCTGTATTCAAATTAGTTATGAAAGGTTATTTTACACTCACTACTGTTGTCCTTAGAAATCTTACCAAGAGAAATGTTTGCAAAAAAAAAAAAAAAATCGTCTTTATCTTTCTTTTATTCTTTGTGTTAGACATTTCTTGAGTAAAAATACAAAAAATAGCCTTTTCCCCTCCCTCCTTGGGTGGGGGTAGGGGAGGATGTGGAATGAGGTAATGTTTCTAAGGCAAACAATTGAAAATTAAGTCTGCACTTTATGCAAACAAATATGAACATCTTTATCTCCCTCATTTTTTGTATTACTCTATCAGCTAATGATCAACGTTGTTAAAATTACAGATTTATGATGGAGAAATAAATTGGAAATATTTTGATACTCTGTAACACAGTTTTAGGGAGCTGAAGAATTGTGCCCTCTTTCTGTAATTCTCCCCACTTCGAACGAAAGATAAAACCCTTCGGTCAACGCAGATGTGCTGGGGAGTTCTTACAAGATGTGTTTGAAAGTCAGGGGGTTTGGGCTCCCTTCTTCCACCCCGGCTCATCATCCCCCCCACCCCCCTCCCTGCCCTCACCCTTCTCCCTCCCCCACTCCCTAGGCCTGGCACTTCAGTGTCTCTTCTGAAAAGATGCCCTGCATTTCTGCTCTGTCCTCTGATAGTGGCTAAGCCTCCACCTGGGGCCTTTGTATGTTTTGTTCTTTAATTTTGTTTAGTGTACACCTAGGGCTATACTGAGCCATCTGGTAGAATTTTTTCTTTTCTTTTCTTTCTTTTTTTTTTTTTTAAGTAGGCTCCACGCCCAGCATGGAGCCCAATGCGGGGCTTGAACTCACCACCCTGAGATCAAGACCTGAGCTGAGATGAAGAGTCAGACGCTTAATTGACTGAGCCACCCAGGCGCCCAGTAGAACATTTTTTGTTCTTCTAGGCTGTTGTGAAACCCTTTTAACGAAGTTTGAAGACAACCATCATTCTGGCCTAGGGAACCCTGCCTGAAAGCCACAGATAGAGTCCTTGATGATCTGGGCAGGGTATGTTGGAAATATTTTTCCAGTATGCCAGCGTTTGAGTGCCTACTCTGCCATGCATGGTGTTGTATCCTGAGGCCTCCCTGATGCACAGGACACACTTCCTGCCCCAGGCACACAGTTTACTGGGGCTCAGGGACAACAAACAGGCTGTTCTGCCGTGGTGTGGCAAGTGCCAGATACAGTATGAGTGCTATGGGAGCACATTGAAGGGGCAACGAGTTCATACTATGAATCCTGGAAGGCTTCCTGGAAGGAGTGATGTCCAAGTCAGACTTGATGCATAGGCAAGAGTTAGCCTGGCAGGGAACAGCTGATACGAAGGTCCAGGAAGGAAAGACCATAGCCCATATGAGGAACGGGGTATTGGTCAAGAGTGAGGAAAAGGAGTGGCAAGAGTTGAGTAAGGTCAAGGCTCTTGCCTGCCTGTTAAGGAATCTGGACTTGAAGTGATGCACTGGGAAGCCCTCTAAGGCTGTTAGGCAAGTATTTGTCAGAGCAGGCTGGGGCCCGGATTGGAGGAGCCAGAGGAGAGAAGAGAGTGATACCAGCAGGGGACACTGTTGGACTGGGTAGGTTGTAGTACTGGCCTCAGAGGAATGGGGCTTAGAGACCTGACACCTTTGGGCTCAGCTACTGAAAGGGCTTGAAGGGGAGGGGAGGAGTAAGGGTGACGATACTGTGTTACATGGCTGTGCCATTTCCTGAGATTGGGCAGGAAAGATGGTCTCAAGTGGGTATCTGGATGGTGGAGCGCTTGGCACGGCTGGATGGGCCTGGGCCTGTGGCTCCAGGAGCAAGTCCAGGGCTGGGTCTGAGCACCCAGCAGCGTGGCGCTTGGGCCTTGGGGTGGAGCTGGGAGGAAAGAGCAGTTTTAGCAGAGTGTGAGGCAGGGTGGAAACAGTGAGGGAAGATCATCTTTGACAAAGTTTGGCTCTCGAAAGTTGTTTGCTTTTTTAATAAGGCTGGTGACTCAAGTAGTTCGTGTGCCACTGGGAAGGAGGGAGGAGCTGGAGAGCGAGGCCCTGAGGAAATCAGGAGGCGGGAGGGGCCCAGAGCCCAGGGCCAGGGCCCAGCTGACCTTGCGAGGAGGAGGGAGGGCCGGGCGTGGGTGGCAAGAGGCCTGCAGATTTGGCGCCAGGAGGTTCTGTTGCCGGCCAGCAGTCCTGGTTTTCACTGTGAAGGAGGAGGCAGGGTCATTCTCCAGTGAGGAGAGAGGAGGAGGTGGATGGCTGAGGGCAAAGATTCTAACCAGTCCAAAATGGCAGGACGCTGAGGAGGGAGACGGGATGGCTTTGGGGCTCGGAGGCCTTCAGTGCTCACCAGAAGTTCCTGTTTACCGTGAGATGGGCCATCAGTGGAATGAATGCCTGGGCCCTGGGCCTGGTGGACCCTTCTACTTTATTTTTTCAACAACTCAACTTTCGATAAGTTTATTAGTCATTTCACAGTATCCTTCAGAGGCTGATGAACACCCAGAAAACTGACTCCTCCATCAGCCGTTCCTTCTGCTGCCCCGTGCTGGGGGTCAGACAGGACAGCCTCTCCTTTCTCTTCTTCCATCCAGGTTTGAAAGCCCAGGCACCAGCCTTGAAACGGTCGTGGCCTGTGTTAAGTGTAAGGCAACGTGTGGGTGCGGATACCTCGGTTCCAGACCTCCCTCAGGGTTCTCCAAATGGATACCTCGAGCAGTGAGGAAGGTGTTCAAGCAGGAACCAAACAAATTCACTGAAAACGCATCCTTATACCCCTCTGTAATAGAAGAGTTCTGTTTCTTCTGTCACAGACTGAATTTCCTTTTCGAGCTCACTGCACTGTATCTGAAAAACAAAGTCAAATTCTTCATATTTTATGTGAAGAACTTTCCTTGCCTTAGAAGTTAAAAAAAAATTTCAGAAAGCATCTGTTTCCCAGTCCCACTTTTTTCAGTGATGTCCAGTAGATAGCAAAAACACATTTCTGAAACACTTCATTATGGAGAACTGTAACTACAAACAAATGCAGAAAGAATATAGTGAATCCTCATATATTCAGTCTTCTTTATTTTTTATTTTTTAATTTTTTAATTAACATATAATGTATTATTAGCCCCAGGGGTACCGGTCTGTGAATCATCAGGTTTACACTTCACAGCACTCACCATAGCACACACCTTACCCAATGTCCATGACCCAACAGACTCCATTTCTCACCTCAACTCTGGCCCCTGAGAGCCTTGCATGACCCACCTGCTGCCTTCAGAGGAGAGGCTGCTTCCTCAGCCTGGCCATGCAGAACCTGCCATCTGGCCCCAGGCCTCTGGTCCGTCAGCCACATGTGCCCAGCTACACTGGACTCCTCAGCTCTCCTATACCCCCACTTGGAATGCCCTCCCTCCCCAGTCTCTGCCTGTTCAAATCCATCCATGTCCACAGCCTACCTCTTCCATGTAGCCTTCCTGGCTTGGCTGGCAATTCTCTTCTTTCCCTAATCTCCCCACAGCCTTTCGGTCATGTTTACTTTCTAGCAGGTAAGCGTTACTTCCACATGTCACATGTTACCCTTTCTGCGAAAGCCTGTAGCAGACTGCCATCTGCCACACCTGCTCTTTTCTATAGCAGCAGAATTTGAAATAGGTCCAGAAGACCTCAGTTCCCAGCTTCCCTTGCAGTACGGCTCGGCCACATGGCTAGGCCAATGCACCAGAGGTGGAAGTGCTACCTGGCCACGTGGAATGAGGAAGGTGCCATCTTGCACCTTAAAGATTGGGGCCTAACCCTAGGGATGGTGGCTGCGGAGCTGGAAGGAATTAGACCCCTGCGGACTCCCAACACAGAGCTGCCTTACTGGGCTGGCTGCCTCACTGTAGAGAGCAGAATGGAGTCTCTCATGTCAAGCAGGAGCCAGCGTCAAGCAATAATGCGAGCAGTTAAAGGTACAAGGCTAAACGTACCAGCTACGAAGTATTGACGGAACCAGCATCAGCCGAAACCCCAGAACTGGTAACAAGCAGAAGCAGAGGAGGGCCGCTGGGGCCCAAGACCGAACGAAGCCAGCCAGCCAGCCAGCCAGCCAGCCTTTTATCTAAGAGAGTGAGTGCCTGTGAGCGGCAGATGGGGGCAGAGGGAAAGAATCTTAAGCAGGTTCCACTCCTAGTGCTGGGCTTGATCTCATGGCTCAGATGCTTAACCAACCAAACCACCGAGGCACTCCCCCCACTTAAATCTCTTTAAAAGGGGGAGAACTTTGGCAGCAAGCCGTCAGACTCTTCAAACGTGATCCCGCTATGTCTGACCACTTAAAAAAGGCAACTGGCCGCCGGAGGCTCTGCCAGACTGATCTCCGAACAGAACCGAGATCCTTCCCCACTTGAACATAAGAAGCCGCCAGTGCCCAGAGCTGACCTGGCCGGGACCCGGGCCTCATCTCAACTGCACTGGCGTTTGGTTTGTTCCCGTCCTACATCCTTCTGTCACTCGTTCGCTGTGGCTTGCCTTCTGTCCTGCTCTGTGCACCATGTAAGAAGCCAGTGAGTTTGGAATCCTGAACCTGCTTCATCATTGTGATCAACTTTGCTTTATGACTGAATCAAGCTGATGTGGAAAGACACAGGTGTGTGCATCTGCGCAGTGGGCTCAAGACACCCACACTTTATGCGAGGGAGAACAAACCTCCGCTTCGTTGAGGGCACGGTTATTCTGGATCTCAGTTCCAACCGAATGTAACGCTAGTTAATACAGAGCCCTTCCTTCCCCCCACCCCCGGCTACTGGCATCACACCTGACGCACACATCCAGGTGCCCCCCTGGATGCCTTTCTCTTCACTTCCCCTCCCGTCCCCAATCTGAATGCTCACAGGTTCTAACTTGTCCAATTCAACTACTTCTAACCGACTACCACGGACTTACTCCGAACCCCCACCACCTCCAGACAGGAAATGTCTCCAGCCCCCAGCTGTTCTCCCAGCCTCCAGGATGGTCCCACTGACAGGATGGCATCCAATATTTCTAACATACAACCCGACTCAGCCATTCCCCCTTGAAACCTCTCCTTCATCGGCTCCATATGAAGTTCTATTACCGTGGGGGGCCTATGACGTCCTTCGCCAGCTAGCCCACCCCTCCATAGCCCCACGACCCACAGGGGACTCTGATCTTCTCCCGTGCCCCAAGCTCCTCTTCTGTAAAATGGGAATAAACTACTCTGAAAAGTTGTCTTAAAGACAAGAGACTGCCTGGCACAGTGCCCAGGACATAGAAGGTGCTGGATAAACAGAAGTCATATCCCCTGCCACTGCCCCCAGTGCCCGACTGTTGATGCTGCCTCTGTTCTGCCCACACGCCCCGTGCGTGTCTGTGCCCCCCCCCACCGCCATCCCACTGCATCTGCGGCTACCTGTGTGCGGGGGGGGGGGGTCTCTCCCTCGCTGGCCCAAAGACCCAAACACATCCATTCAGCCCTGTCATTTGAAGTCCAGTGGCCGCCAGGCTCAAGGAGGCCCGGGAGAGTGATGGTGGTAAAGGGGGAGAGGGCTGCTCTGACCACTGGTGGGCCACTGTATCAGGAGCATTTTTCTGGGACATTTAAAAAAACCTGGGATGGTTTCAGTACTTCAAAATATTCCATAGTTGATGCCACGTCCAGTGGGACTTTCTGCAGTGACGGAAATGTTTCATCTGTGCCTTTCCATAAGATGGGTGACCTTGTACCTGCAAGGTCCCCAGTCACAGAACGCAATCATGAACCACCAAAATGCTATCACAGAGGAGGGAACCGAGTTACTCCTAACATCGGAAAAACGAATCCCATGACCTATGATGACATGTACAAGACAACTAGAAAGAGACCCAATTATCAAACAACAAACTTGTTGATTCTAGACTCTGACTCCCCCACACCAGTGAAGGGAGCTCTGCAGAAGATTCTTCCCTCGGACTTTTTTTTTTTTTTTAAGATATTATTTATTTGGGACTCCTGGGTGGCTCAGTCGTTAAGCATCTGCCTTCGGTTCAGGTCATGATCCTGGGGTCCTGGGATCGAGCCCCGCTTTGGGCTCCCTGCTCAGCAGGAAGCCTGCTTCTCCCTCTCCCACTCCCTCTGCTTCTGTTCCCTCTCTCGTGTCTCTCTCTGTCAAATAAATAAATAAAAATCTTTTTTAAAAAAAGATATTATTTATTTGACAGAGACACAGCAAGAGAGGGAACACAAGCAGGGGGAGAAGCAGGTTCCCGCCAAGCAGGGAGCCCGATGTAGGGATCATGACCCAAGCCAAAGGCAGACGCTTAATGACTGAGCCACCCAGGCGCCCCGTCATTCCCTTGGACTTCAGCCAGGTCAGGATTCCTGGGCTCTGTGGCTCCTCCTCTCCCCAGGTCCCCAGATCAAAGCCTCTGGTGGCCACACGCCATTGCTTTCTCATAGCTACTCAAGGGCAAGGCCCCGTTTACTCACAGCCGGCCCCGGCACCTCGCTTCTGGTCCACCAGGGGAGGCCCTCTGTGTGTGTGGACAGGATCCAAGAGCCCAGGGGGAAGCCAGATTGAGGAAGCAGAGCAGCAGGAACTCCCCCAAGACTGAAAGACTTTTGTCAATGACCTAACCTGCAGGTCAGCTGCCTGCTTCTCGCTGAGTACCAGTGCGATCCAAAGTAAGTATCCACAAAAGGGTCACTGTTAGTGCAATCTTACTGTGACAAACCATGTTCTCACAGATGGGCCTGTAAAGAGTAAGAATATTCTCTAACATTTTATTTTAATGAGAAGCTGCCCACCCCATCCCATCCCTTAGCACGCTTAGAGTGAGGAGAGCAGACATCTACGGTACCCTCAAGTTTCTCTGTTAGAGGCGGGCTCAATGGCCCCAACTAATGATTCTGTGAACCTAAAATGACAAAATTTGGGTTTGGAACAAGCTCGCTGCAGAAATTTAAATATTTTTGAAGCCATTACTGATTTTTAACTTCAGTGACAGAAACAGGCATTTGAAATTTCCAGCTCAGAAATGCCAGAAATCAGTAACATCTATTATATCAGCGATGTCCGCAACAGCAGCAACAACCCTTTTCAGAGATGCTACTCTCTTCCATTCTCCTTAACAGAAAGGGAAACTGAGTCTCAGAGACTGTCAGCAAATTAACCAAGGTCATGGAGGAGCTGGGACTCTGAATCCAGGTCATCTGCCTCATCATAAATTAGAGTAGATCCCAGTCGACAGAACTGCGCTAACCCAGTAGCCACTAGTGGCACGTGGGGACACAACTTAAAATTAAATCAGAATAAAAATTCAGCGCCTCAGCCACGTCGGCCACATGGCAGGTGCTCAACAGCCACAGAGCCACAGTGGCTAGTGGCTGTCATATGAGCACACAGATGAAACCTTTCTGTCACTGCAGAAAGCCCCACTGGATGGGACTTCACTATGGAATATTATGATTATGGAAACTATCCCAAAGGTGTTTTAAGTGTCCCAGAAAAATGCTTCTGATACACCACTAGGAAAAACAGAATCCAAAACTGCACGAGTGATCTGAGGGACAGGATTAAATAAAGTTATTTTTATACTTTTACACTTGGCAGATTTTTTAGAATTATTTATCTTACTCTTCTGACAAGGAGAAGAAAAAAGGTTTTGGGGTATTTTTGTTTGTTTTTTGACTTTTTTTAAGAAAGAAATCGAATGGGGGCACTTACCCGTCCCATTTGTGGAAATAGACTAAAAGAAAGTGGCACCATCAGTCCCATCACTAAGACAGTACAAGACAGCTTGAAGGTCCACAATGACCATGGATACTGCCGGAAAAACTGGGTCCTGTAAGAGACAAGGTTAAAGGCTTTTTGGGGGGGCTGGCCCCAGGCTTGGATGGTCTTGCATGCAGCTGTGGCCCATGCCTCGGTTCCCACTCACCCACAAAGAGGCAGCACTGACAGACTGCTCGGTTTGCGTCAAGCCCACGGTGAAGCATGTCACGGGCATTGCCTGTTTGAGCCCCCACAACCCTGTGAGGTTTGTGTCATCATCCCCCTTTCACACAAACAAGGACATGGCCACGGACCAGTTAAGTCACTTGTCCAAAATCACACAGCTCAAGAGCAAGAGGCCAGATTCTAGACGCTGGGCTCTGCTGACACGGCTGGGACATTCCGACCCTGACCTCTGAGGACGTGAGAGACAGTGTGGGAAGAGGTGACGAACCCCAGCCCGGGAGTCAGAGACCCAGGGTCCTGGGTCTGCTGGGGGTCTGCACAGGCAGACCAGGTGGTGTCGGGTGAGTCACTTCCCCTTTCTGAGCCTGGGGTTTCTTCACGCAGGATGAAAGGGCTGAGTCAGAAGGGGCACCGAGGTCACTCCAGCGTGGATACTCTCGTGGCTGTGGGGGCCACTGGGAAACGACCGCCATCTCTCCCCCCAGGTAGCTGGTGCCACGGTTGGGGTCTAAGGGACAGACTGGAGGGCCCCAACTTCCACCAGCACCCTGGCTCTGACCCAGCCAGAGGGGTCCAGGAAGAGCCTGGGCCAGCAGAAGTCTCTACCGCCATCCAGCCGATGGGCCATGGTGAGTAACACTTGGCTCCAAGCAGCGCGCGCCTACTGGTCAAAAACGCGCTCCTCACGTGGTCGTGAGAAAGGCTTCCTAGCGCGCCATGCTGGCCAAAGGGGACTGGTTCAGGTGACCCCATCTGGGCCAACGGACTCCTTCCCTGGGAGTCTGGGAACTGAGGGGAAGACATTCTCTGCCTTCCCTGGTGTCCGCTGTGTTTTTCATCCCTCACCAGGATGGTTGGAGGACATGAACTGGGAGGTGTGGGTAGTCACATCCCTCGGCAACACGAAGCAGCCAGTGTGTGGCAGGACGGAGGGGGCTCACAGCATGGAGACGACAAGGACCAGAGCTCCTGCTTGGTGGCCACAGGCTACAAAGGTCACCTGCCCACAGCCAGGATCTAAACCAACACTTTTGCCTTCTGGCCTACGTTACTGTGTGTTGGGTTTCTCACACTGCTTGGTCCCCAGGCCTTCCTCCGAAGAGGCCATTTCTTGCTTCTCAAAAGCAAGAAGCAAGTGGATGATGGTCCACTGACTCTGGGCCACTCGGGCTAACTTAACACCCGCTTGCCGTGTGGAGGGAAGACAGGCTGCAGCAACCCTCCCAGCATATCGGAGCCAGGAAAACCTGAGAATCACCTCAGCTTGGCGTTCAAGACTCGAGGGGCCACACCTCAGTAGGTGCTGGGACGTGCCTGGGGAACACAAAGCTAACAGGAGAGGGCCTGGGTGAGAGACCAGGGTTAAGGAACGTGCACATCTGGTTTTCACGCTGTGGAACCATCAGCAGTGATGAAAAGAGTTTAGTGGGAAGATGACTGAACAAACTTCTTCTGTCCCTCCCACCAGGTTCAGTGTTTGACGAGTTTTGTAAGGATTTTGAGTGTCGAATGTTTATTCCTACCTGGGGAGGTGAGTGTGCCTCTTACCTTACAAAAAAGTGTGAGAAAACTTCAGGGATGAAAGCGGTGGTCCCAAACAGTACTACCCTGGACGTCGCTGTATCTTTAATGGCCTAGCGGAAATGGAAAGGAAGCACCTTAGCACATGGAGTGAGACCACTGCCAGGGATCCTGCAACTCAAGACAGAGATGAGCAAAGAGCGGCTCTCCTGTGTCACTTAGGAAAACACCGCACATGAAGAACAGAGGACAGTGGGGGTAGGTGCCAGGATTTACTTCCTGGGGCGCCTGGGTGGCTCAGTGGGTTAAAGCCTCTGCCTTCAGCTCAGGTCATGATCTCAGGGTCCTGGGATTGAACCCCACTTCGGGCTCCCTGCTCGGCAGGGAGCCTGCTTCCTCCTCTCTCTGCCTGCCTCTCTGCCTACTTGTGATCTCTGTCAAATAAATAAAATCTTAAAAAAAAAAAAAGAGTATTTACTTCTCGCTGACTCCACTGTGGTCTCCCCTTCGGTCTGCCAACTGCCCAATACAATATGCACTAAGCACAAGCAAAGCCAGCCTGTAGAAAAATCACCCCCTTGCTGGGAAGGCTGGATTTGTCACTGAGGACTACCGCATGTTTACCTTTCAATCACTGGGTTAAGCATCGGTCTTCTGCTCAGGTCATGATCTCTGGGCCCTGGGAATGAGCCCTGCAACCAGCTCCCTCCTCAGCCGGGAGTCTGCTTCTCCCACTCCCTTTGCCACCCCAACCCGCACTGCTCCTACTCTCTCTCTCTCTCAAATAAATGCATAAAATCCTTAAAATAAATAAACCTTCAGGAATATAACATGAAACCACCCCACTTCAAGAAGAGAAAAGCGGCTGCTGAGGGTGGTGTGTTTCGACGTCAGTGGGACTGTCCGCCTGTGTGCGAACTGGACACCCGTCCTGAGGGGCACGGGGAGGCCTGGGACAGTTTGCAGCTGAGTGGCTTCCAAGGCCAGCCCAGGGAAATTGGCATGGACTGGCTCCTGAAATCTGATCAAAGGTGCCCTATTACAATCAGATAGTGCTGGTTGCGTCGTTTCTGAAATTTTAGCCAAAGGCCATAGGCCGTCTGGTGACGGGAAAATGATGAAAGAATGCTTATGCTTACGCACAGTTGCAGACTCTGTTCTTCAGAGGAAGATAGACATAAAACAGGGAAAAAAAAAAAAGGGCAGAGCATCAAATCTTCCTTTTATCCTAAATTGGCCTTCCATGAAGAAAATGAAATTCTTCCCGGAGACACGGACTAGATATCCGGGCTAGACACCCACACAGATCGTGGGGTGTGAGGCCGCCTGCCTCTCCTGGGAGGCTGAGCACCTGCGGCTGAGGGCGTGGCTGAGCGGGCTGAGGGCGTGGCTGAGCAGCTAAGGGCGTGGCCAAGGTGAGCCTAGCGTAGCACCTGGCGGCGGCGTGTGGTGCAGAGGGGCAAGTCGCAGATTAAACAGGTACTCTCACTCTTCTCAGCTGTGCGCACAGTTTACAGCAGCTCTAATGCCCTGCAGGTAAAGGGAGCCACTGAGAAACACAAACAGACGTCCACATAAAGACCCGCGCACGCTGAGAGCAGCCCTAGACTGGACACGGTGCAGACACCCACTGCCTGGGGGAGGGATCTGCAGATGCGGTCGGTACGGCCATCCATGCGAGGCTGCTCGCCAGAAAAAAAGCAACAGATTGTTGGTGGGTACACGGTACTCCAGAGTGAAGAGTCAGGCACCAAAAACACTTGTACAAGCCACTTACATGAAAGTTCTGCAGAGTCAAAAGTATGAAGGCATAGGGCAGAACAGTGTTTCTCTGGGGCTGGGAAAAGGGAGTGACTCAGTGGGCACGAGGGAAATTTTTAGGATGAGTATGTTCTAAATTTGGACTGCGGCGATAACTGCATCACTGCTTACATTTACTAAAATTCATCAAACTAGACTCTCACAATGGATGAATTTTATTGTATGTAAATTATATCTCAATAAAAACATCTCACTGGGGTGGCTCTTAGGCACAAAACCTTTATTTCAAAAGCAAGGTTTTTATTTTGGGCAGCCACTTCTCCCCTTGTTACCTGTAATTACTGTGTTTCTACTGTAATTCGTTTAGGAAAGTGGCCACTATTTTCAGACATGCCACTGCATGGGCTGGCAGGAATCTGGTGCACATACCTCATGGTTTATGATCCAGCTTTGTCCTGCAGATAGGGTTTAGAGGAATGTGCTCTGTGAGGTGAGCAATGATGTATTTACTGACTGCATGAGCAGCCATCTTTTCTGACCTCCTCTTCTGCCACCACAGGGGGCAGGAGATGTCCCGACAGGGGGCCCCTTAGACGCAGACACCATGAGAAGCTGTTCCCTTCATTTTGCACTGGCTGTTCCGTGCTATTCCTCGTGCCATTTGCAAACAACTGCCTCAAATTCCATTCTTTAGCTAACGTCACTTCACAGAGACCAAAAAAAAAAAAAAAAAAAACTCACCTGCTAAAAAGGTATTTTTAAAAAAGAGTCCACAGCCAAAATGAGACTACCCTTGGCCATCCCAGTTTCTCTGAGCTAAATGTACACAGAAGCCACTGTGTTGAATTGATCAAAAGAATAAAATAGTTAATAATAAATCTTATTAAAAATTGAGGCCTGTAGGAGGCATTCTGGTCAGAGCACTGAATTTCTTTAGGCCATTTTTTTTTTTTTTTAAGATTTTGTTTATTTATTTGAGAGAGAGAGCACGTGCACAAGCAGGGGGAGAGGCAGAGGGAGAGAGAAGGGGAGAAACAGGCTCCCAGCCATGTAGGAAGCCCGACTGGAGCGAGGCTCGACCCCTGGGCCCTGGGATCATGACTCGAGCCCTAGGCAGACACTTCACTGACTGAGCCACCCAGGCGCTGCAGGCCACTCTTTGAGAGCAAACTGGTCCTTCAAGATGAAGACTATAAGAAAATCTGCTGTGAGGTGGAGAAGAAACATTTCTCTTAAACCCAGAGAGGGGGTTCACGGACTTCCACGAGCACAGAGCAGCGCGAGGGCCGGATGCTCAGCTGGAAGAACAGGATCTCACCCTCGGAGAGTGGCCCAGCGTCTGGCGGGGGCCCGTCGGTGGCGGTCAGTCATGCTGTCGTGCCGCTGCGTAGATGTGACTAACATCTACAGTCCGTTAACTTTAAATAAGATTACTTTCCACAGTGTGACTGGGCCTCATTTAATCATCTGGAGAGCTTTGAGAGCAAAATCTAGGTTCTCCCAAAGAAGAAAACCTGCCTGAGGACGACAGCACAGGCTCCTGTGTTTCTAGCTGCTGGGAGTTGGCGAGTTTCTAGCCCCTGACGCTGGGGCTGACACCTGACTAGCCTACAAGCCCTACAATTGCGTGAGCCAATTATAATCAATCAATCAATATCCTATAGGTTCTGTTTCTCTGGAAACCCAGACTAATGCATCATCTTTTAAACATCGTGGTGCAAAATATAAAACCACTCCCTCCACATGCGGGGAAAAAGGATAAGGCAAGATTGAAGGGAGATAAGACTTTGTTCCCAGCTCTCACACAGACAACTCCATACTCTAGCCAAAAGGCAAGCCAGCTAGGGATCCATGGCGTCCTCCTACCTTTGTTCCGGCTTTTCTGGAATAGCCCATGACATTGCCTTCTTTGTCCATGACTTCAATGCCTCGAATGGGCTCCAGACTTCGGGTGGCAACAACATTCATTCCACTAACGTGGGCTGTGGGTGTGAAGAAGAAAATGCACCACGGCGGGTGAGTTTGCTCCAACGGAGGAACATCCTTTCTGGTGTCAAGTGTCTTTCTCTGATGGCCATGCTTCCCCACCCCTCAAGTGGTCAGGAGTTGGCCAACTATGCTCTGTCCCAGGGCTTTGGAGCAGGGTCAGAACTGCTGGCCTCCCACTCTGGGGTCCTGACCACAACCCAGCGCCAGGCTCTTGCACCCCTATAGCAGGTCCAGTCCAGCCCCCTGACAGAATTCCAGGACAAATCCCTGGGTCCTTGAAATATGGCCCCCTTTTGTGCTGTAGCTGGTCTGACTAGGTTTCTGTAACAGTTTCCCCAATGGAAAATGGAAAGGAATGACATTACTACCCACACGTTTTTGGCAGGACAAAGTGAAACTGAACACGCAGAGGGCTGGCACTGTCTTTAGGGTGAATCTGTGTTCCCGGGTGTGTGTTCATCCTTTGACAGTGGAAAACACAGCTACAGAGCAAGTGTCACTTCTCAAACCAAGGACCCAATTTGGGCCTGGAGGCCTCAGGAAGCTGCAAGCTGCAGCTGTCATCAATCACCATGTGGCCAAGGGACCAGGCTGTCCCTGAAGGTGTAGGAAGGCTCAAAGGGCACGGAGATCACATGCTTCCTGCTTACTGAGAATGATGATGGGAAGGGCTCTTTTCAACAAAACGTGATTCACTCGCATCTGGAACAAAACAGGAAATAACTAGAAAAAGAAGAGAGAAAAACCATTATTGCACAGGATCAAAGAGTCAGCTGAACACACTCAGTAGCAGAGAGCTGGCATCAACCTAGCTCCTATCCCAGCGCGGGCCACCGCAAGTGCTCTCCATGTATTTTCTAATTCTTGCAACACTGAGGGGTTCGCCTGATTATCAGAGGAACACACGGAGGCTTAGGGAGGTAACTTGTCCAGAGTCTCTGAGCTGCTAAGAATTTGAGCCTTGAGGCCAGCCCAGGCTTATCTGACTCTAAAGTTTATATTTTTAACCATCACAGTATCCTGATATCCAAAGCAATACACAACATGTATATCATGTTTATGTAGCTTAAGTAAATTTTTTTTTCTTAAGTAAATTTTTTAAAAAGGTAAGAGGACTGAGTATATGCCTAGAAACCTGAGATACTCATATGCTTATTCAGAGGGTGACAGGATGACAGGTGACCACTTCCCTTCTTCTGTCTTAGCCATACTTTCCTTCTTCCTTTCTTTTTAAAAAGATTTTATTTATTTATTTGACAGAGAAAGAGAGAGCGCACAAGCAGGGAGAGCAATGGGCAGAGGGAGAGGAAAGAGCAGACACCCAGCTGAGCAGGGAGCCTGATGTGGGACCTGGTCCCAGCACCCCAGGATCATGACCTGAGCCGAAGGCAGACGTTTAACTGACTGAGCCACCCAGGAGCCCCTTAGCCATACTTTCTAAATTGTTTAAGTTGAAACAAATCTGTAATTCAGACTAGTTTCTTTTGATCTGAGGAATGAAACAGATTTGACAGATTTTTAAAATACCCACTCCAAAAAAGGAAGAAGAGGCAATCACTCCTGTCCCTAGTAACAGACTCTCATATAGGCGACGATTCTAAGGAAGAAACAAAAGTAAGTATTCAGCAAACACCATGGTTTTACCCAGGGAAGATTATTAAAACAAACAAACAAACTCTAAAAGAAATAACACAGAATTGCCTATCCCCTGGGCCTCATGATACTCACATAACTTGCATTCCCGTTGACCATGTTGAACGTCGTAGTGTAGGTATAGAAGGAAACCTGCGGAAAGACAGAGGCACACAGATCACACGCTACGATCATCTGAGCACCGAAGAATGCAGGAATCGTGAAATAGAAATGGTTTTTACCTGAGGTAAAATCAGGGACTTCAGACTTTTTACCGACAGCATCGAGAAAAATACCTTTTAAGAAAATAAAGCGGAGTTTAAGTGTTTGAGGGGAGGGAGAGCTTGCCAGGGGGCAAAGAACTTCGTAGGGAAGATGTTGCACTGAGGCCCCCCCACCCCCCGCCAGGAGCTGGGATGCGGAGGCGGCCAGGCAGTGGCGAGCAATGCTCCGTGAACACCTACAGGACACTGAGGACACCTGGGGGCGTCTCACGGTGGTCCCAGCATCCAAGCTGTGCGACACTACAGGACGGGGCAGCTGGGGAGTACGCACTCCCAAGTGGACACAGCCACAGGGCAGGTGTGGAAGAAGTGACTGAGGAAGGCGGTCCCTTTGTGAGAGCACCTCGTGAGAGTCCAGGTGGGACAGCCTCGCTGGGGGGCAGTTCCAGATCCCAAATGAGGGTAAGTACGGGGGCTAAGGGTCAAGGGAGAGAAGGTAAGGGACGATAACGTGCACTGGAGGCAGGGAGCCTGTCCTCCATCTCCTCGGTAGTGCTCTGTGCACACTAGGCATCCAAAGAAAGGATTACCTTATGACACTGGGACCTTGCACAGGCTGGGGCGCCTGACTAGGGAAGCGTGCAGACAGGGTGAAGTCACGTGAGTAGCAGACAAGGGTCAGAGACGGGGGGGTCCACAGCCATCTATCAGGCTGTGGTGGGACAGGGGTCCAGAGCAGGAGGACACAAACCACTGAGGTTAGGAGATGAGGGACGTCCTCCTGCACCTGGGGTGTCAAGCCGACTCACCATGGGCGCCGTGAAAGGTAGGAAAGCTGGCAAAGAAGAGAAGAGGGTCAGTGACCGCCGCTGCCCAGGCCAAGAGAGGAGGCCAGAAAGGGGCGCCCCCCAACCCGAGAACCTGTCCTCTAGCACCCTGAAAGCATGGGCACCAAAGGACAGTCTATTTACTCATTCTGTTACTTTTCCCAATAACAACCATGTGCGTAAGGCAAGCATTTCAGTCAGCACCATCCAGAAAGACCTAAGGAGGCCCCCTCCGGCCTTCGCAGTCCTTCTCACTGGAGGCAAGAGGTGATAACCTATTCATCCTTCACGACAAACCGAGCATACTCATGATGCCGTCATTTATGAGAAGAAACCTGGATTTGCTCTTCATGCCTGTTCCTAGCACAGAGATCCTAAAACCCTTGGAATTTCCTGAGAATAGCAATAAAAAAGTGAAATGGAGGGCGCCTGGGTGGCTCAGTGGGTTAAGCTTCTGCCTTCAGCTCAGGTCATGATCTCAGGGTCCTAGGATTGAGCCTGCTTCCCCCCCCACCCCTCTGTCTGCCTGCCTCTCTGCCTCCTTGTGATCTCTCTCTCTATGTCAAATAAATAAATAAAATCTTAAAGAAAAAAAAAAAGTGAAATGGGTGTCTTTTTTACCCTAACAGCCCCTTTCCACCTCACTTGAGTTGATATTAATAAGGGAATGTTTGGAAAGCCCCTGAGGAGGGGGCTGGTTGCTAGGGGAAGGGGTGGGGAGGGGGGAAGAGGGGGTTGGATCTTTCAGTCGCACCTGCTGCCTCGACCTCCACGGAGGGAAAAGGGGCTGGAGGCAGGGCTAGTCACAGTGGCCTGGGATTTCGTCCACCATACTAACAAAGCCTCCCGTCTTGCAGCGGCAGCATTTCTGGTTTGCTGAGCATGGGCGGGGAGCTGGAGAGGGTGTGGAAGCCCTGCCCTCCCCAGCCCCACCCCCAAAGCCCTGCGCATCTCTTCCATCCGTTCCCCTTCTTCATAAACGGAGAACCTAGTGAGGAAACCATCTTCTCGAGTTCCGTGAGCTACACCAGCAATTTCAAACCCAAGGAGGGAGGTGTGGGAAGCTCCAACCTACAGCGGGTTGCTCAGACGTCCACGTGAGAATCTGGACTTTCAGTTGGCATCTGAAGTGGGGGGTGGTCCTGTGGGACTGAGCCCTTCACTCGTGGGGTCTCCTGCTGCCTCCAGGTCAAGAGGATCAGAGTGAAAACTGTAGGACATGCTGCGGGTGCTGCAGAATTGAAGGCTGTGGGAAAAGCCTGCACATCGGGTATCAGAAGTGAAACCTCAAGGGCGCCTGGTGGGCTCAGCTGGTAGAACGTGCAACTCTCCATCTCGGGGGTCATGAGTTTGAGCCCCATGTTGGGTGTAGAGATTACTTAAAAGAATGCCAACTCACACGGATAGGCTTAAAATCAAACACTGAAGTGTCGAAAGGAGGAGCAAGGGTTTTCCCTTCACAATATCCACCAGGACAGATGCAAACTTGCACGTCCTCTTCTGCCCACAGCACTTAGTCACACAAAGAGGATTACCGTATGCTGTTTTATACTTTGCCTTTTTCCTCCTTAATACTAGTTCCTAGAGACCCATTCTTCTACACGAGCACACAGGAGGTACCTCAGTCTTTTTTTAAACGTTTTCTTTTCCTTTCTTTGTTTTTTTTTCTTTAAGATTTTTTATTTATTTATTTGACAGAGAGAGAGATCATAAGCAGGCAGAGAGGAAGGCAGAGAGAGAAGGGGGGAAGCAGGCTCTCTGCTGAGCAGAGAGCCCCATGTGGGGCTTGATCCCAGGACCCTGAGATCATGACCTGAACCAAAGGCAGAGGCTTTAACCCACTGAGCCTCCCAGGTGCCCCGGTACCTCAGTCTTTTTAATGGATTATTTAACTACAGTCTGAATTTTTGGATATTCATGTTGTTTCCAGTTTCTTGTTTATAACAGAGAGAATTTTATAGTTAAAGGCGCCCTGTACAATCATGGGTTTTATTCCCCTCATGATAGTTAACATACAAGGAGAGAGAATACTACACAGAGTCCAAAACACTTTTGAGTTACAACTTCTGGAACCACCAACGAAATGATTGTGTGTTTCTTGGGAGATGACAGAGCAAAGCGGCTTCCAAACCCTCACCCCTAACGCCCCAGATCTTTCCAAGGACTGGACACAGCTCCAGGTCCCAAACCTGCTCTTTTCCACTATCAACCCCAGACTCTGATGCAAACATCCTTTTTAAGCTGTGATTTCCAGACTCACTGTCAGAAATCCTTCTAGGAAAATAATAATAATAATAATAATAGGAATAATAATAAGGCAGGCAGACTTTTTGAACTGTTACAAACCGTGTTTTCCCAACCCACTTCTGAAAATTAGAATCAGCTCACCTGCAGGGCGAAATGGAACAGGGATCAGTTTGCCGCTGTCAGGATGCACTGTTGACTTCACAAAAGTAAACACAAAGCTTAGACTCATGTTGGGCTTTGTTTTTGTCGGAGGTAAAAATTAGGAAAGGGCTGAAACTTACGAGACTTCTCTTCCAGGCGTCTTTTATCTAACAAAAGAAAAAATAAGCAACAGCTTTTAAAGGTAAATTGGCAGCAAAAGAGAAAAAAACCCATCTCCACTCCAGTCTAATTTCTGCTGCCATCTTCACACTGCCTTTTTTTTTTTTTTGAGATTTTATTTATTTATTTGACAGAGAGAGAGATCATAAGTGGGCAGAGAGACGGGCAGAGAGACGGGCAGAGAGATGGGCAGAGAGAGGGGGAGAAAGAGGGGGAAGCAGGCTCCCTGCTGAGCAGAGAGCCTTATGCGGGGCTTGATCCCAGGACCCTGAGATCATGACCTGAGCCGAAGGCAGAGGCTTTAACCCACTGAGCCACCCAGGCATCCCCACTCTGCCTTTTTAAGAGTGAAGGCCAGAACTGTTCAATGCCACGTGGCTAGAACAAGTCAAAATAAATGAATCAAACAAACAAATGAACTAACAATAAGCAATAAGATGATCCACAGAAAGAAAATAACCAGAACATTATAATGTCCTCAGTCTCTCTCTTTCTTTTTTAAAAGATTTTATTTATTTGTCAGAGAGAGAGAAAGCACAACCAGGGGGAGCAGCAGGCAGAGGGAGGGAGAAGCAGGCCACCCGAGGAGCAGGGAGCCCGACGCAGGGCTTGATCCCAGGTCTCTGGGACCACGACCTGAGCTGAAGGCAGACTGAGCTGAAGGCAACTGAGCCACCCAAGTGCCCCCCCAAATCCTCAGTCTCTTACCTTGGAGAGGGCTCAAGGCCAACACCTAACTTAGCCCTCAAGGGAGTCCCTGAATCCAGCCTACCCCTGGTTCAGAAAAGAGCAGGCCGTTTGCAAGTGACACTTGTGTGCTTTCCACAGGCTGCTTGATGGGAGTGATGTTTGTGGACTCTGGAAAGCCCCATCCACGGCAAGATAGACAACAAATACTGGTTTAAGTCTTGGGGCAGGAGTGTAACCCTGATCTGGAACACTGCCTCTAATGGGAAATAGATTCTGACTTCAGAGGCCTGTCTGCATTCTGGAGTTTGCCATGGGGCTGTAGGGATCAGCCACAGAGAATCCCCACTAATATCTGAGCACAGAAGAACCCTAGGAGTTTTTTTTCTCCTTAATACTAGTTTCTCCTACTAGTAATCTGGTTAATGAAAAAGAATTCTAATTACATCTCAAAACACTAACCAAGTTTTGAAAAGCAGATCCCTTGGGTGGTGTTTACTAATGACAAAACTCCACCTGATTTCAGACCATGCAAGTAGAGATCTCCTGAAGGCAACCACATCCAATCTTGAACCCAGCACAGGAGACATACCCTTTGGTTCTCCAAGTCCCGGATGGCTGCATCTTCATTTGTTAACAATAGTTGCCTTGATTTCTCTATTTTTTCCTATAATCAGATAGAAAGAAATCAAGCAATGATACCATGATTTAGATCTGTCCAAATGATTTAGGAATCCCACGCTCATTTACACCTGATTTCAATGCAACACGTGGCCAAGGCTCTCTACTCCCTGATAGTTTCCATGAGGACAGTGCTGTGTGTCACCCAGATTTAGAGGTCCAGCAGCTTGACCCACTGGTGGCTGCCACCTCCCCCTGCCCCTAGACAGCTGAGGACAGCTATCTCCTTGAGTGCTACCCCCATCCGCCTGGCTTTGTAAGTTAGGAACCTGGAAGTCCCTCCTCTCTCTTCTTCCCACATCTGGTCCATTCAGGCTTACTTCCTCTCTTCATTTTTTCTTAATTTGAGAAAAAAGAATTAAATACAGAAAAGACAATGAAATGAGTACACATTCATAATCCCCTTATCCAGAATTAACAATGGTAAACATTCAGTCTTATCTGCTTCCAATTTTTTCTTTTTTTCCCCCCAAAAGCCATCACCCCCAGTTTTGTGTCTCCCCATTCTACCAGAAATAACCACTATTATGAGTTCAAGGTATTAATCCGAGTACACTTTTTTATACTTATATATATACAAATACATGTATCTGTAAACAAAGTAGTAGTGTTGGGTCTTTATATTGTAATTTGCATAAATATTGTCCTTTACGCGTCCTGCTTTTTCCATTAAACACTGTAGACATGTTTTCCCTTTAGCATCATGTATACTGTTTCCACTTAATATATACATTGATAACTAGATCATCACTTTTAACTTTTATTAGTGTTCCACTGTATGAATATACCACGTTATATTTCTCTATTTCCCTGCTGATGGGAATTCAGGTTGTTTTTCTCTATTCCAAACAAGGCTGCGTGGAAGATCTTGCGAACAAGGATGGGAGTGTCCCTGTGGGTCTGGCCCTGAAGGACTGCTGCTGGGGATATACTATCTCCTCCTCTTGAGCCCTCGGCCACACCTGGTGCAAACCCTTGTCTCCACTTGGACAGCCGAGCCATCCCCTGAGAAGATCACCGTACCTACCATCTGGTCCCCTCTGATTACTCGCCACGTGGTGACCAAAGAGACCCTCTGGAACACAATCCTCACCTTGGCCCTGGAGGCCAAATACAACCCCTCCCATATGAAGGACCATATGAAGCCCTTGCGGGCCTGTCTGCTCCCCCACATTAAAAGCACCACTGACTGGACCACCTGCTCTCTCCCCTGGGCTTTGCTTATAGTCCCCTCTGTCTGGCCTTTCCTGCCTGCCTCCTCCTTCCAGCTTTCCCTCAACACCCTCCCCGAGTTTCCTGCCGCACCCCTCCCGTAGCACCCTAGGTCTAGGTCGGTGACCACCTTTGTCCGGTGGCCACCTTTGTCCGTCTGTCTTCCGTTACCAGGGACTTGTTTGATCCCTTCTGAAGCAGCAACACCAACCTTGGTGTTACTGGTCTGTTTTTTTATCAACCTTCCAATCTAAAGAGCTTATTTGGAAGGAATAAAACATAATATACATGGATTCTGTTTTAATTGCTTTCAAAGGGATGCAGTCTTCACATTTCAGAATAAAATGTAAAATGTCTTATCTCAGAAAACAAGGAAGTACTTACAATTGAAACGACCAAATTTGTAGGATCCAACAATTCTGTCCACTGAAGAAATCTCTGAATGAAAGACTTAAGAGGGAGAAAAGCACCAGAGAGGTTAATGGTGGCAGAAAAAGAGACAATATGGTAATAATAATAATAAGCATTATCTTTGGGACCCTTACAGGGCCTTTTAATGGAAGCACCTCCAGTAATCTTCAGGACATCCCCAGGGTCTTAAAGGTGAGGAAAGAGGCATAGAAAAGCTCAAGAACATACCCATGCAAACCCAGCTAGGAAAGGACTCATTAGCTTGTGCTCCTAACGACTCCAATATCAAATTACTCTTGAAGGTTAAAAGCCCAGATTTTGGAGTCAAATGGGCCTAGTCCGCATCCCACAAATGACCTTGAACCAACTACCTAGAAGGGTCTCAGAGTTTGTTTCTTTACCTTCTTATCCTTGTTATAAGGCTTAACTTGAGTCATAACGAACAGGACACCCCCAGCAAGGCCTTAGTAAAGGCTGCTTGATCACACCTGGAGGCATGATTTGCTCCCAAGGGTACCCCCCCCCCCCCAACTTTGAGTCCTGAAGCTTGAGCTCCTGTCCCTTTCAACTTCCCCACCTAAGAAAACCTGTCTGGGCCCTACTTCAGGTAAGGCTGAAAGAGAACACCCTAGAATTATACTGTCCAGTTAGCCTCATGTGGCTATGGAGCCCTTGAAATGTGGCCAGGCCAAAATGAAGTATGCTGTATGTGTAAAATACACCCAGATTTCAAAGACTTTCTAGGAAAAAAAAAAAAAAAAAAAGGCATGTAAATACCTCACTAATAATTTTTATATCGATTACGTGTTGAAATGTTAATATCTTATATTTGTTGGGCTAAATACAATATATTATTAAAATTAATTTCAGCTGTTCCTTTTTACTCCTTTGAACGTGGTTACTAGAAAATTTTAAATGACCTATACGGCTCGCATCACATTTCCATTGGGCAGCGCCCCGCAGTCACTGCCTGGAGGCGGGGCCGGAGCGACTTCCTGTCCTTGGCGGCAGCCCACGACCACCGCGTCATTTGAGTGTCGAGCCTACCGGCTTGGGAGGCTGGGGGCTCCTGAGAGCACCTGTTCCTCTCCAACCTGATGCTCAGGAGCAGCTCAGGCAGCAGAGGTCACACACCTGCGGGGGACGGGGGAGCTGACTCCCCAGGGCAGGGCGACCTAGTGGCGACCCTCGCTAGCCAGGCCTGGGGCGGAGGTGACACGCGGTGACAGCCGTGGCGGTCCGCATCCCGCGCTCATGGGTTTCCCCTTCGTCCCCTCCCCGGGTCTGAGGTGGGAAGGCGGGTGGTGCGACCACGTGGCCTGCCCAAGGTCACCCGCGCCAGCCGGCGACTCCTCGCGGCGACTTCACGGGGCCCAGGGCCACCCCGCCCCCAGCCGCGCCGGGCCCGGGCCGTACGTGACGTTCGGTGATCCAGAAGCGCACGTTGGGCTCCATGAGGGAGCCGCGCCGCCGCACCCAGCGAGCCGCTCGGCCCCCGCGCTTCCTGCTCCTACTGCTCCGCTTGCTGGGACCCGTGTGGCCGCTGCAGAGGCCGCGGCCGCCGGGCCAGGCGCGGAGGAGGAGTCGGGCAACGTGCCCCGCCCCGGGCGCGCGCGCGCGTCCCCCTCCCCGCTGCCGGCTTCCTGGCGCGCCCGCTGCTCGGTGTCGCCGCGTGCCTGCGCCCTGCCCTCGGCCGCCTGGTGTGCCCGCTGCCCGGTCTCCGAACTCCCGCTGTCACCGCGCGCCGGCGCTCCAGCGCCCCAGATCCCACGCCTCCACCCCCGCTCCGGTCCCCGTGAGCCTGCCCACCTTCCCACCCACCAAGTCTTCCCAACCTTAACTCCCGTTAGTGTATCTGGGCCGCTTCCAGCCTGGGGTGGGGATGGGGAGGTGGTCACCTACGGGAATCCTCGTATCACAGGACCTACTGAGAACCTGCATCTGACCCAGATGACAGGTGCGCCCAAGCCCTGCCCCTGGCTGTCGCTCAGTGTGGAGTCTGCTCGGATTCTCTCCCTCTTCCCTCTGACCCTCCCGGTTGTGCTGGAAAATTAATGAGTAAATCTTAAAAAAAAAAAAAAAAAAAAAAAAAAAGTTTTAAAAAGTAACCAGAGAATTAAACAAGGTCCAGTTCCCTTCAAAGTGAGGGTCCCTGCCTTGGCCTGTGATGGGGGCACCGCACACAGTGCCAAGTGCTGTCTGGGGCAGATCAGTTCCTTCCTTTGCAAACCAGCTCAATCAAGCAGGGGCTGGTTGTAGAGAAAAGACGCACGTGCCTTCCTCCTGCGGCTGCCTCGCCTAGCCCACGGGCCCTGTGCTAGGGTGGGTGGGGGTTGTGTGTGTTTGTTGAATGCATGTTCCTGGATGTTTAAGGAGTTCAGGGGTCCTCGTGAGTCTTGGGTTGAGGACCCAGCACCATCCATTACTTAGTTGGATGGTCCTGGTCAAGTCAGTATCAGTGGGTCTATTTACTCATTTGTAAAATGAGGACAATAATTATACCTATTTTAAGGTTTTGTTGAGGTTCAACGAGATAAAACATGTGAGTCCTAATATGACACTGGGTCCACTGAAAATGTTCAGTTTGGACCTTTGATACTCAGCTGGCCTCTTCGTCTCTTGCCTTGCCTTCCCCTCCAGGGACATGAAACCAGCTCATGGTTTTCTTCAGGCCAACGTAACTTGACGGCTTCTTTTTGCTCAGTTCACCTGACTCACTTTTCTGTAGCCTCCAGAGTTCATCTCCTTTCCCAGGAAGTTCTCCCCTATGCCCATAGCTGGGTAAGGTGCCCCTTCTCGGTGTTCCTCTTCCGTCCCAGGAATGCCTCCCGTGTGCCACCTGTATTATTCTGTTGGCTCTACCCTCAAGCATGTCACAGATCCAGCCCTGCCACTCTTCTCAGGACCCTCATGGTCTAGTCTTAACAAAGGAGCCACAGTGATCCTCCTAGAACAAGTTGATGTGACTCTTGTCGAAACCTTCCTTACACTTCCCATCTTAGAAGAGAATCCAAAGTCAATAGCTTGTTCAAGACTCTGCTCTAGCCCTTGCTCCAGTTTGTTTCCCTTCCAAACATTCTATGTATTCTATTTATTGGGTTTTCCCCTCTAGAATGGAACTGCATGAAGGAAGAGGGTTGTCTTTCCTTGTCCACCCGAGTGCCTCCAAAACAGCATGGGGCGTGTGGCAGGCACTCGGGATTTACTGAAGTAACGATTAAATGCTTGTCTCTCTCTTGCCGGAACCTGAGTTCTTTGGGTGTAGAGCCAGTGTCTTACTCGTTTTTGTGGGCCCTGAGTTCAATGCTCCAAAAATGCTGGCTGATAAAATCGAAGGAAAACTAGAACCCTGTAATATAAGCTGAGCCAACAATTAATGATATTATACATGCAAATATTTTAAAATATGTTTATTATGTACTTTATGTTGAGCATTTCAGAAAAGAATTACAATGATTTCAAAATACAATTTGATAAATAGCCTTTATAATTACACGCAATCAATATCTAGAATTGTATGTAGACCCTATTCAGCTAACAAATACGGAACTATTTCAATCTCAGGAAGGAGAGACATGCACGATCACTGAAGTCACTTTGCCAGAGTGTTTTTGTTTTTTTGTTTTAAAGATTTATTTATTTATTTATTTGACAGAGATCACAAGTAGGCTGAGAGGCAGTCAGAGACAGAGGGAAGCAGGCTCCCGCGGAGCTTGATCCCAGGACCGTGGGATGGTGACCTGAGCCCAAGGCAGAAGCTTTAACCCACTGAGCCACCCAGGCGCCCCCCAGAGTGTTTTTTTTAAAAACCATGATTCACATTTGTCTCAAGTACACATACATCCATTGCAAGAGTTAAATTAGACCACTGATGTTAACACCTTGAAACTATGTATGATCTTTGTCACCTGAAAAGAAAATTCAGTTTAGTACAAAGAAATTCAAGAAGAAATTTCAGGACCCTTGATCAGAAGCTTCGGTGTGTGTTGTACTATTCTGGTGTACACAAAGGTTCAAGTAAGACCAACAAAGAATGTTTCCTCTTTCCACTGAAGACACAATCCAAGGAACAGGTGAACCAGCATCCTATAAACTAGTCAGCCATCGAGAGGTTACCAATAAAGGACGCTTTATGTGTGTGAGGACATTTAAAAGCCTCCGCCAATGTTACAAAAACAAAACATTTAGAGTATTACTTATGAGTACAAGCATAATTGGTGTTTTGTCTTCTATAAATAATCATCTTTGAAATGCTCAAAGTGAGTTCCAGCTGTGGCTCTCTCCTGACGTGAGAAGAGGTGGGTTCACATGGGATGATCTACTGATTCACCTTCTCAAAGTATTCTTTGGAAGCAGCTGGATGTGGCTTGATCTGAAAATGCAAAAACATTTAATTAGGGAGCTGACTTCAAGATAAAAGTCTTAAAAGTGAGTTGAAAGCTTGCAGTTTTTGATCCAAAGTTCTTTAACTTTTTAAAGCGTGGTCCGTTTCCTTTAAAAGATGGATGAAGGTTACGTCAAGAGCCTGCCTGATTCCTGGTCCTGCCCCTTGGCAGCCTCACCCACTTGCGCCCCGTCTGCACCCTTGCTCCAAGGATGGGCTCCTTTTATAGGTGCTCTAGGCCAGCAGCCCTGGAGGCAGTGAGGGCCAGGGACCCTGTGCTGGGGTCTCACGGCTTTTGGAAAGGAAACCTACCGTAGGAGAATCTGGGGTCCAGTTTGCTGGGCAGACTTCTCCATGGGTTTCCACAAACTGGAATGCCTTCACCAGGCGGAGGGTCTCTTCCACACTTCGGCCCACGGGGAGATCGTTGACACTCAAATGCTTGATGACGCCATTGGGGTCAATGATGAAGAGGCCTCTGCATCAGGATTTACCCCCATTAGTACCTCAGTGCCACCACAATGACAAACTCTAACTTCTACCCGCTTCGGTCCTTAATTCTCCTCCATAAAGCATTAAACTCGACCATATGCTTAAACGTGGGGCTTTCCTTGTTACACTAATAGCTTATCATTTCTTAGCCATGACGCGCCACACACAGAGGTGACCGGACCAGGCCAACGTGGAAAACGGGCAGTATTTCCCACAGAGAAAAGTTACACAGAGTCTAAAAGTCACAGAGAGCAAAGAATTCTTTACCTCATTAGTGATTTGGGTGTTCTTTGGGCTGCTGTATCAAATGCTGGCAAGAAACCAGAGGCAGAGGGGAAGAGACAGAGGTATACTTTATCTCCATGCAGTAAATACTGATGAAATGAGTGAAATCTTGGGTAAATGGAGGGAAAAAATCCCCTGGGGAAATCTTTGCAGAAAGAATTTACTGGCCTTAAGTTTAGGCAGAGCATAAACCTAAAGGACAAACCAAGACTATTTATCACTTGGCAGTAGCGTAATGACACGACCTGGCCCGTGGTCTGTGTTCATCTTCCGCACAAGTGCTGGGGTTACCATAACACACGCAGACGTTTCAACCACAGGTTTTAACAGTCCGACTGAAAAGGGTGTGGCATTCCAAGTGTTAATCATGCAGGGAAAGTGCAAGTGAGAGAAAAAGGCAAGGTGAAAAGGCGCCACTTCCTCCCTCAGCCTGGCTGGGGGCGGGGTGGTCTAGGCTTTGAGGCTCAAGGGTCCTGCTGCAAGCTCGACCGAGAGCGGAGCCAAGCTGGAGTCCACGGTGTGGGTGCAGGTGCGGAGCTGGGATGGGGCTGGGCCCCCAGACTCTGGAAAGCAAGCCTTATCTTCCAAACCAGACTCAGCTACCTTCCCTTGTCAATCCCAACAGTGAAACCAGCAGGGAAGTATTGGCAAAATGAGCAAGACCTACAGGGAAGGGGGTCCTGGGAGGCCAAAGCCAGCACTCTTTTTCTCTTTCCCTTGCCAACTTTGTCAACGCCGGGCTTCAAGTGTATTAAAGGAAGGCAGAATCTCCCAGAATAAAAGCTCCAAGTGGCTCTCAGAACTACAGGCCCAGGTGTCATCAAGGAGGAAAGCAGCCAGAGCAGAGTGAGTTGATTCGACAAGAGAAAGTGAGCAGGTTCAAGACAGCCCCCAGCAAAACTGTGAGGCACATCAGAGTGGGGTCCTTGGCTGTTCCCTGGGGGTCAAGTTCTGACCAACCCCCGCTTCACTCAGTGGCCATCAAGATGCCACTGGAAGGCTTAAGGTCTAATCCTCCCAACCCCCGGCCCCCAGAAGGTTGTATTTGAATATGGGACCATTAAAGATAGACAGCTTTGGGGTGCCTGGGTGGCTCAGTGGGTTAAAGCCTCTGCCTCTGGCTCAGGTCATGATCCCAGGGTCCTGGGATCAAGCCCCGCATCATCGGGCTCTCTGCTCAGTGGGGAGCCTGCTTCCCTTCCTCTCTCTCTGCCTGGCTCTCTGCCTACTTGTAATCTCTGTCTGTCAAATAAATAAATAAAATCTTAAAAAAAAAAAAAAAAGACAATTTTCCCACTCAAAGGAATAAAGATTTAGCCACTGAATGAATGAGGACAGAAATGACATTCTGGGACAGAGGTCATAATGGCTAC